CCCTCTGCTCTCCTGTCACCCTCCAACCTCCCCCAGCCCCCTTGGCCACACTGACCTTATTGTCAGCTCACCCCACACACAGTCAAGGGGTCCCACAGACTGCAGTCAGCTTCAGATACACACCTTGGTCCTTGTCCCTGAGGACGTTACGGCCTAGTGAGAGAGAAAGGAATAAAGGTCAAATGACTATTTGCAGGTGCAGTTCTGAGCTGGTTTATTTTTAGGTATAAACTCTCAATTCCAACAGTCACTCTCCATTAGGCAACTGTGGCCACCCCATCTTTACAGATGTGGAAACAGAAGAACAGCAAGGTTAAGAGACTTGCCTAAGGCCACAGCCAGCAGGGGTGGAGCCCGGTTTTGAACCCTATGAGTCTGACACCATAGCCTATGCATTTAGCCACTACGCAATCTTGCCTTCAAAATAAATGTCTAGTTCTGACTGTAAAGCCTGCTACCTTGGGGAGGTACGTGAGGTCAGACACGCAAAGCACTCCTGCCCCTGGCCTTTGGCATGTGCTGTGCCCGCAGCCTGAAAAACTCTCCACACATCACCTCCTGTTCAGTCTTTGGACTCGAACCCTGGGAACATGTTACTTTCTGAGGGACACCTCTGCCCTCCCCAGGCCATTAGATCCATCTGTAGGCTCTCTCTCCCACAGGTCTGTCCTGTGTGCATATCCCACTGTCAGGATATATTTGCTGATTCTTTGTAAGTTGTCCCCTCTCCCATTCGACCCATAGTGCCACAAGAGAGACAAGCACGCTGATGATCTCAGTGCCAAGTTCTGTGCCCACATGTAGTAGTGTTCAATAAATATCTGTTGAATTTGTTGATTGACTTACCAGAGGCAGCCCCGAGGTCTCCTCCCTTTCTGAAGTTCCACAGAGCTTTCTCCAGCTCTCTCTGGTGTCCTGTTGGCCTCCTCAAGGACCCTGTCCCCTGCCACACACCCACCTGCTCCTCATGAGCCAAAGCAGCTGGTGTCCCTTTAAGGGGGCAATAGCACTGGCAGATCAGACCCTGCAAATGTAGGGTGGGGGGTTGGGGTGGAAATGTGGGGGCAGCACAACCCAGGCGGATGTGACAGGCGCTCCTTGGCTTCCAGGACCGAGCTGGGAGTCGGGGTACAGCAGAGGCGGAGAGGAGGCCCAGAGCCCGGACATCCTGTCTCGATGGCCAAAGATGATCTTCCAGGCCCCATAAAAACCGGAGCCACAGAGGCGGTGGTACCACCGACCCTAACACTGTGGTCTGGAGGGCCGGAGCCTCGAAGATCGATATCACTCGGAGGCCGTCTGTGCGGCTCCCTTCTGCTGCCAAGTCTCCCCAGAAGCCAGAGGAGCCAAGTGGAGGAGGCCGGAGGCCCTGGGAGAGGAAGGGAGGCACGGATCTCTCAGGGCAGCTGTCAGTGGAGAACCATGCAGTGTTTCCTGGCCTCAGCCCTCAGGCCAGCCCTCTGCAACAGGAGCCACCCATTCCACAGATGGGGAGTTTGGGACCCAGAAGGGCAAATGCCCTTCTGAGGGCCCAGCAAAACCAGACTGGAAGGCAGCTGTGTGCCTGGCTATGAGGCCAGTGTCCTCAGAAGGTCAGACTTCAAGGGTCTCCTCTGGGGTGCCAGGTCCTGGTCAGCCTGCATGCTTTTCTTCTGCTGGCAGTGCCTGAAGTCACACCAGGATGGAGCCTAGAAGAGCTTCCTCCAGGCTCCGGCCTCGCACCCCCAGGCATGGGACCACCTCTCTCCTTTCTAAGCTGCTCCCATCTTGGACTTCCCTTTAGCCCTCACTGAATTCCAGCATGTCACCAAGAAAACACTAAATGCCTGGCCTAGAGAGGCCACTGGACACCAGTGGACCAGTCAGCCAGTGTCCCCTTCATCCCCAGGTCCCTCCACTCCACACCAGTTCCCCAGGGTCTTCAGGTGCTCTTCAGGGTTCTGCCCACTCCCACTACACCTAGATTGCCCATACCCCATGTCCATGTGCACCCAACTCCTGGGTCAGTCTGACCCACAGAGCCCACAGCACACTGTCCCCTTCCTTGATTGTACCACCTTGCTAACTAGTGCCTCTGGGGTGGCTCTCAGAGGAAGAAACCCTGACCTGTTGCTCACTCCAGAACCCTTGAAACCAACTCATCAGCTTGCTGGATTCTGGGGTGCCTCATGGAAAGGGGGCAGAAAGGAGATGCCTGAGTTGAGACGCAGCACCCTAGGGGCCATGTCACCTGTGTGTGTGTCTGAAGGTCTCTGCGTGGGTTGCATGCATGTGTATCTGTAAGTGTGTCTGTTTGCCTACATCTGTGTGTGTGTCTGTGTGATCATGTGTGTGTGTGTCTGTGTTGCATCTCCGTATCTGTGTGTGTACCTTATCTGTGCAATAGTGAGTGTGCACAGGTATATCTCTGTGTGAGTGCACCTGCATGTTTGGTCCTACACCTTGTCAGTATTGTTAAAAACAGGCCACATCCTCTTCATATTCTGAACTGCTAACTGCTAACAGTTAAAGAAAACCCAATTCCTTAAAAAAAGAACTCGGTTGGGATATCCACAAGAAATTCCAGAGCTCCTGCAGTTGGAATTTGCCTTCCCACCTGGGGCCTCAGGCTCTAGAGAGGCAGATGTCACCCACATCGAGAGACTCCCCAGCTCCCCATTTGCCTCTGAGCTCTGCTGAAAGGATGCTGGAGTGTGGCTGCAGGTCCCTTCCAAGCCTGGAATGTGTCAGAATACCAGTAGGCTCCACTCAAGAGTGAGGACAGCATTCTCCTGCCCCCGGAATGGCAGGGGGCAGGGTGGCAGTGCCACCCTGAGGAAGAGACTTCCTCAGACTACTTCCACTTTGCCTGGTACAAACACATGGACAACTCGAACCTGAGGAAATGCTCCCCCATTGCTCCTGGGCCGTAACTGCAACACCATCACCAAGGGAGTGATTATACAAAATCCCCACAGCCAGGTTGGACCTCAGACTGATCCACTCAGAACCTCTGGGGTGGGGCCCAGGCTTCAGTACTTTTCAGCCAGGTTTGAGAAAAAGTGGGAAGAGCCTCCACTCCCAGATCCATCCCTCTGCCCCCTGCCCTCCCCCCAGCCTCTTCCAAGGCTGGCCTCTGGACACGCCCTGCATGCCTGGTGCACACAGAACTCTTGCTTGTCCAGGCCAGGACTCACTCCTACCTGCTGTTAGGACCCCCTATGCTTGGCCCAGGAGCCCTGACCCCCTCCTTGGTAAGCCAGCCAACTGCCCTGCTCACACCCACCTGACCATGGCATCACTTTAGTCTCCTGCCTGTGTTATGGATCGGAGCCCATCAATAGGAGCTATGAAGGGCCTAGAGGAGTGGTCAGCTTACCAGGGCTCAGAGTCTTTCTCTGTCACTTACCCAGCTTTTGAACGTTAAGCAAGTGTCTTAACTTCTGATAACCTCTCTTTCTTCATCTCTAAGATGAGGGCCTCACAGGGCACCCGTGTACCTGATCGACACCCTGGCACTCAGCCAGTTTTTGCTCAATGCCCTAACAATGACAAGTAGCAACACTGCCAGTTAGAAGCCAGGTGACCTCTCAGAGCCTCCGTTTCCTGATGTGTCCCCCAGGCCATGGGACAACCCTACAACACAGGTGTGCAAGGAAGATTGAGCACGATGCCTGGCAGGTAGCAGGAGTGTGAACACATTCCATCCCCAACACTGCACCTTCCCAGCCTGTACCTCCCATAGCTGAATGTTTCAGAGTGTGAAAGGGTCCCTGAGACCCAGGGTTCTGTGAGGTCAAAAGCACTTTATACGAAGTCACAATTTTTCCTGTCATTTTCTCCCAAGCAGACAGCATCGTCCAGGGGCCCATCATGTGTGAAGTATCAGCAGACCAAATGCAAAGGCAAACAGCAGGGGCCAGCTACCATAGAGAAGTCGGACGCCAAAAAGGCTTCAAACAATGCAAAACAGTGTCTCCCTTCTCACCCAATCCTTTGTGTCCTAGAAAATATTATTATCTTTCATTAAAATACTGTAAGCACCCATGAAATGAGTTTATTATTGTTATGGAAGTGAATTAGTGAGAAGTTGTGATGTATTCTCTTTTAACTTACTCTATGGTAAAGATCAGAAGATGTAAACCATTAACAGCAGCTCTTTGGGGCACTCAACAATGTCTAAGAGTGTAAAGGACTCCTGAGACCCAAGAGTTGGAGAAGGTGGCCCTGCAGTCCATCATTGTGCTATCTCAACAGGGACAGTGGGTCTCTCCTCCTTCCCAGATGCACTATAAGCTCACTGGGTAACTGGAGCTGTGCACTTCAGTATTTTGGATCTCCCAAAGCATTCTATGCTGTGCTAAACATGACTTGGTACGACTCCAAAACTTTCTGAATTTCAGGGAGTTCGCCCAGAAGCCCTGGGCCTGGTGTGAGTGACCTACACGTCACACCTGATGGGCACCCAGAAACTTTTCCTGGCAGCCTCGGCTACCCTTTCCTCTGACAGGCCCCATCCTTTTGGCAACTCTTTCCTGTACCTCCATCCCTGCCATTCTCAAGCAAGACCTCTCCGAGCCAATGTTCTTGCTGAGAACAGGGGGAGGAAAGAGCTCTATCTCTGTGGAAATTCCCACACAGATAGATGGAAGTCTGGAGCAGCTGGTGGCCCACACTTGGACAGAGTCAGCTCAGATCTGAGTGATGGGGAGAAATTCCTGAGTTTTGAGCAGGTAACCTCCCAGATGCATCTCCACCCAGACTACTCAGCCACTTGGGCTAATAAAGTTTTTTGTTGTTGTTGTTCTCTAAATGAGTTTGAGTTTCTCCCCCAGCTGAAAGAGCCCAGATGAATAACTCATGAACCAGAACCAAGACTTGGGTTGTGGGGAGTTTCTGGGAGCATTGGGGGCACATCAACCACAAGACACATTACCAAAGGCCCCACGTGTCTGGTGCCTGAGAGAGACTGCTTTTGCCCACCAGGGACCTGGCAAACAACACAGCTAGATAACAGCATGGATTTGTCTTTAACTTTATCTTTTTAAGGCCATACAATGGATTGCAAGAGAACAAGCAGCTGTACAGGAGTGGGACAGTGTCAGTGTACATACACTCATATCCAGGATGAGTAGCATATATCAGGGTTTATACAAGGTGGCAGAGGTTACAGGCACAAAGATACAAAATATAAAGTACACTTCCATCTATATAAATACACAGCCAGGATGCTGGGGACTGTATTTCCCCGCAGAGGGCCTTGAGGGGGAGGGTAGCCAGAGGTGACAGTGATGGTAAAGAATTTCTTACATTTGTTGTGAATGACAAGTCAGAAGGGAGGAGAGAGAATGAGGAAACAGCATGCACACCCTGAGGTGCCCTCATGCACACATACAAACCCACAGGAGAGTGTCACACTGTTAACACCAATCAGAAAACAAACTTGAGACATCACTCTACAGTAACCTCACCACTGGGAAGAGCCCAATGTGGAAACAGACTGAGACCTTCAGAAGTGTGAGGAGAGGAGGCAAGAAAGATCATGTGTGGTCTTCTTCCCCACTGCTGAGACTCCACTAGTCAGTTACCCAATAGGCCTTGCCTCCTGGTTCCTCTTACTGCTGGCAAATTGAACTTGACATGCCACCAGCCACCACCTCCAACCCCCACCCCTAAGTTCCCTAAGAGATGAACAAAATACGCTCACACATATCCACACTTGCACACACGCACACACACGTCCTATGTTACCACTGGCCAAGGAATCACGAGTCTCAGGACTCCAGGGCCTGGACCTGGGTAAAGAGGCAGCTGCGGGGATCTCCCCAAACTCTTCTAGGACCCCAAACTTGGGGTAAGGGGATAGCTGCTTCCCTTATCCACTGGATCTCCTCAAGACCTGAAGCTGGGAAAAACCAAATAAGGGGAAGAAGTCCCAGCAGGTAAGATGGGGGACAAAATCATACTTGGTTGCCCTCTGTACCCCATTGGACAGCATGAGAAACCTGCTCTATCTTCACTCAGGTCAGCAGAATGAGGCAGAAAAATACCTACTCCTCTCTCCCGAGAGCCCCTTTATAGAGGGATCTCCCATTCCATTCTGGCCAGTCCCAATACACCTAGTGATTCCTTAAAAGCCAGGAGTAGGAAGAATCCTGGCAGTCAATGTCCACAGCTGTCAGAGCTGCTGGGAGAGGCTTCAGATGCAACAGGTCAAAAGGCCTTTCCCAAATCTAGAACACGTCTCTCAAATACCTGGCTAGATAAGGGAGCCAGAACTCTAAGACAGCAGGGTGGGGACTTTAATCACCTCTGGAGGCTGAGCAAACAGCTCCTTTTCCCTGTTTTTCTCTCTGGGGTCACTTCTCCATTGTTCCCAGACCCAGTTTCCCCCCTGGAAAGAGCCACAGGGACCTCATCGAGCCCCACTCCTTACTGAATCAGAGATGTCCTTCCCTATCCTCTTGCCTCCAAATACCAGTTAAGGTGAAGCCCCTGGACTGCCCCCAGAGCCCTGTTGGATGGACAGGCAGCATGGGCCTGCTTGGCTTCCTGTCACGGCATTTCAGGCTATCCATGTGTCTCCCACTCTTTCTTGACATTTCTCCAAGATCCCATCCCACCCCAGCCCACGTTCAAGAGCAGACAGCACTCTCCCTGACATACAGACTCAACAACAGCAAAACAGGTCAAGGGAGGGGAGGATAAACATCTATAAAATAATAACAATGAGTAAAAGTGCTTTCTTTTCTTAAAGGAAATCTTTGGCAAGAATAGACTGCAGTGTGGAGTGGTGTATGTGTCCATATGTATGCATGTGTGTGCATGTGTGCACAGACCCACCTGTAAGACATGGGATGGGGAGGAGCAGCAAGTTGGTCCCCAAAGTGGGACCACTGTGGAGACTGGGACCCCTTCCCCAATTCTCAGATGCCAGCTCCCTCCAGAGGCATGCTGGGAGCAAGTGATCAGCTTTCCAGCATCTAACCTGGTTCTTCCTGTGGCTTCCACAGGACCTGGGTCTGGAGGGCAGTGGCTGGCCACACATGGGAGGGGGCTTCTGGTGGGCACTGGGTGGGTGGGAAAGCAAGTGTAGAGGCTAAATCCCAGACTCAGACCCCGGCCCAGGTCAAGCTGCCTGAGAGTCTGATGCTGTACCCAGCCTCAAGCTGAGAGAGGATATCCTGAGGAGGAGGAGACCCCATACTGTGAAGTAGTGGATGGATGGGGTATTTACAAAAAAAAGGAGCAGGAAATATCTCCTGTCTTCACTAGGGAATGAGGAGAGGGGCAATCGGGTATTTGGCTTGAATATCTCAGAAGGAAGGACACTTTGGAAGGACCTGGAACACTAAGCCCAAGGTTTCATCGTTTGGGAAGTGGGGGGCTGGGGGAGCCACTGCCCCTGCTCCCCACCCAATTCAGACACTCTCTAGCTCCCTGAAACAGAATGTCCACACAGACATTTCCTGGAGGAGGAAAAATACAAGAGATATACACATGGTCACACATACCTGTGTCCTCCTCACACTCACATACCCACTCAGGCCGGTGGCACCGGAAGGGGACAGCTCCCCACATATCCAGGGAATTAACTCCTAGGCCCCTGGTTTGCCAGAAAATAAGGGGGGCAAGAGTGTGGAACATGTACACCCCCTTCCCATTAAGCCCCAGATATAGTATAGGGAAGGCCAATGCCAGGGCCCTGGCTACTCCAGGGTAAAGACCACCCCCCCACCCCCGTGCATTTCAGGCTGTATTTACATATAAAAAGGGGGTTGGGAGCTGGTTTTTGGTCAGAGAGGCAATAAAGCAATAGGGGAAAACAATAAATACTTCTTGTCAATTTACCTATTCCTTTTTTTAACCTTTTCTTATATTTTATTAGCTTACAGATTCTGTCAGTATGTCTCATGTATATATTATATATATTTATATATCAGTACAATGCCTCTATTTAGGAGGCCCCAACAGGCTTAAGAACAGAGTCCGGGTGAATTTTCCACCTGGCTTAGAGTCCTTGGGTGGTGGTCTCCCAAGGGGCTTCTCAACTGCCCAAATGGACCCTAGGCCCTTTGGCCTAAATGCGTGCTTTCTGTCCCCTGCTCCGTGGGCAACATGGCTCTGCTGGGGAAACCAAGGCAGAAAAGGAAACAGTAAGGCTTTGGCATTATGGGTAGGCCATGTGGTGCTCTGGCAGCAGCCCCAGAGGCTCTCTGATGTCATCCTGGGCAGCCCAGGCAGAAGGGCACATGCAACAGTCAGACCCCGAAATACCTTCAGTAGACACAGAACTCAGGCTTCTCCCTGGGTTCTTACTGAGTGGGGCTTTGGGAAGCAGGCTCCCCAGGATGAACCCTAAAATGAGGACCCTGAAGAACAGAGTAGGAAGGCCTGTTCCCCAGCCCCAAAAGGCATCATGCAGACAAGCAAGTCTGAGCTAAGGCTGGTGCTGGGGCTTCCAGCCCAGGAAGGGGGCTGAGAGGAAGGCGTAAGGCAGAGTCCTGGGAGCTGCCTGTCCAGCTTGCTGTGAGCAACACGCAGCAGGAAAGATGTTGGAACTCATGCTTGGCAGCCACACTTCCTACAGATCCCTTCCCCAAGACTACGGACATAATTATCTGTACTTGTTCAAACCCAGCTCAGCCTTCCCAGTGGAGACAGAACAGGGCTAAAGCTGAGGTGTGGCCACACCCCTCCTGCAGGGGCTCTGTGCAGGAAAATGGCCAGACAGCCCCCAGGGCCACTAGGACAGGTGCGGGGACCAGAAGAGAGGGCTCTACTACCTATAGGACTGCATGCTCCCATAGGAGCGGGATCTGTCTCCCCGCCACCCTGTCACCCCATCCCTCAACTTCTTTGGACGGTATGCACATGTGTGCAAACACATGGGCATAGACAAGCAGAAGTGTTTCTAATTCTAGCAGAGAGAGGCAGATGTAAATCAGTGTGTGAGGATGTGGTTGGGGATATATGTACGCCCAACAACACTACATCAGAGCACAGCATAGAACTTGGGTGCCTCCAGCCTGAGAAACTTGAAAAAGTTCCACCACTGATGTCCCATGCTGGCTATTTGGTTTAGCAACCTACCTTACAGGTGGCCAGAAAATGACTCTCAACTTGATTTCTCCTTGCAAAGCAGGTGGGATAGGGAGATAGAGCCTTTCTATTGCCTGTTAGTCCCCTTTGAGGAGCTCCATTCTCTTGGAGGGGGAGGGGAGCCAGACCCTAGCTAGTTGGAGGGGCTTTGGGTTTTTGCAGTTTCCATCCACTCAGGGGAATCTGAGTTCTTCTCCATCTTTTTCTTTCTCCTTCTCCCTCTCCCCCTCCCCTCCGCAATTCACTTCCCTCTCCCCACGTTGCACTTTCTTCTCTCCTTCTCCAAAATTGGCCCAAAGTCCTCCTTCTGGATTCAAGGTGGTCAGGATTCATGGTTCCCTTCCCACATGCCCCACCCCCAGTGCCCCAGCTCTGGACAAGGGTTCTGGGGTTCATCTCTTCTGGCCAGCACTCAGCATGACCTTGGAGACAAAGTTGACAATGGCAGATGCAGGCTGGTTGGGGTCAAGCTCAGCGAAGAGGTGGCAGGCATTGTCCGTGGTACTGCCCTGCTTCCGGGCCACAAAGCCAAAGAGCCTGCGGGGGGAGGGACAGGGTGACTGCATGAGGACCCCAGGCCTGGAAGAACAGCCAGGGGGCAAGCTTGTCTCAGGTCATCCTGTCTACCCAGCCCTTCAGTCTTCCTGAGCATTAGGGAATGATGCTCCTCTATAAGAAGGAATCCTTTTTGCTCCCTACAACAATGCCAAATCCTGGTGTCAGTGTCTTGCTCTGTTTCAGAGAGGCAACCACTGCCCTTTCAGGGCTGGGAGAGAGAGCTGGGTGTGAATAACAAGACTGAGTAAGGGTGGGGATGAGAGCAGAAATAAAGTGGGCACATCCCTGAACAAGGTTATCTGGGTCCTTTCCAGCCCCACCCCAACTGGACTGTTACTACCCAGCACACCTCAAGTAGTCCCCTCCCCCCCCACACACATTCCTCCTGGGCTCCAGAGGCTAGGAAGCCCAGAGAGTAGGACAGGGAGGGGACCTGACACCTGTCTGCCCCCTCCCATATTGAAACTGGAGGGACCTAGTGTTCTCTCTTTGCAAAACAGAGTTAAAAATATGCAAGCAGAGAACAGAATGTGAGCTCAGGGCCCCTCCCAGCTGGCATGTTGCTAATTAGGGCGAGATGGGGCATCAGGACAGCTGGAGATTCCGATGGAAACCCCTCTGCCTGGGACGGCACCATGCAGTTAAAATTAGCCTGGTCAGGTCCTGCTTGCCAGTATGTGTATGTGCATGTGTGTGTATGTGTGTGCACAGACACACTATGCACACATGTATACACCATACATAACAAGCCACACATACATGCCACACACACCCTGTACTTGGAGCAGCTTTGCTTTCCCAGCCATGCTTCAGGAGCTGGGAACCACAAGACCAAATGACAGGCGGTGGGTATGGGGGATCACAGGGCAGCCCCACCACCCCACTTTCCAGGGTGGTCCAGGCTGCATTGTTTTAGGGGTAATCTAGGCAGGGTGAGGGGTGTCTCCCACCAACCAGTGTAAAGGCCTGCCAGCTCTAGCTGTCCATTTCTGACAAGATAGAGGCCCAGTCAACCCACGCCTGTCCTACACACTATCACCTGTTCTGTCTGCAAGCTCTGGCCTGCCCAGCTGGCTAGCAAGCACACAAGGAGATGCAGCGACATGATGAGACACAGTGGAAGGCTGAGGTGCCCTCCCTCCTAAACAGCCCCTCTAGGGTCCCCACCTCTAATCACGCCCAGATTCCTGGCCAGTCCCCTATGATCCCAACCCAGGTTGCTCCTGGGCAGCCTGCTCCATCCTCTGTCCTCTCCTTTCTTCATTTAACAACTGTCATCAGCCTCCTTACAGGAAGAGCTGGTCCTGAGTTGAGAGTGTACCCTGGTGGTTATGCCATACTCTCCCCTGAAGAAGTATGACTCCTTCCTTCATGTCCATTTCTACTGCCCAAATCATACCTGTTTTAGGACCCATTTTAAAATATTCATTCTTTCCCTAAACCTTTCCAAATCTCTCCCTGCCTGGACACACTCTTCTTTTAAGCATCACAGATGTGGCTGTACCTTTCTCTAAGACTCAGTGACCTTGGCATATAGATCTTGGGTGCCCTTTCCTGAGCCTTGACCTGGACCCAAAACTTGGCCCCTGCCAGCCAGCAGGGTGGGAAGGTAAAAGCCACACTTACTTAGCAGGGGTGCCTCCCTCTGTCTTCATCCACCTGTAGAGAGAAAGACACTCAAGTGAATCACTGCTCCTTTCCCCATGGCCCAGGCCAGACCTTCTGGGGGGAGGCAGAGGAGCCCCCACTTCTGGAAGAAAGAGCCTCCAAGGTTACACGGAGGGCATTCAGGATGGAGAGGACATTGTAGCCTGCCCCCTGTGGCACCTTCTCCAAAGCGAAGAGAAGTCACAGATTCAGGGTCAGGAACACAACAGAGGGGGTAGAAGTGGGCATTTTGGTCCCCAGGAGGAACCAAGACCTGTGGTGGGTGGGATTCAAAAGAATACCCAATACAATTACTCACACTACCCTGTACACAGGCAGACCTGCCAGCTGAACCAAGACTACACTGGCATGCACACACACGTACACTGCAGTGGCATGGAGCTACACAAGAGGGAAGGTTTTCTCAGGAGACTTACTTTCTTTCCTGCGGATCCAGGTCACAGAAGGTGACAGTGTTCAGGGGGTAGTGTCGTCGGAAGAAAAGCCTGTGGCACAGACATCAGACAGACCAAGAATGAGTGCTGGAGAGATTGCTTTTCCCACCTCTCACCTGCAGGTCAGGCTACCTTCCCTCCACCTGTGCCTGTCATGGGTCCACATAGCCTCTCACTAAGGAGCAAGATGGTCTGAGCTGCTCACACTGGGGACCTGATCAGTGCACAGGGATAGACAGACATCTAAAGGAGCCATGACCCAAATACTAGGGACCGGGAAAGAAACTGGGACTGAGGAATAGGATAACCCTGGAGGAGGAAGGAAACAGGCTGGGAACAAGGTTAGGAGAGAGCCTGAGGGGAAGGGCTCTGTTCCTAGAAAGCTAGGACTTTATTATTATTGGGTATACTTCAGCTGTATACCCAATGCAGGCAAATCTTTGTAGAAGGAAGGGAGAGAAGGAAGGGAGGGAGGGAGGAAGGAAAGGGAAGGAAAGGGAAGGAAGGGAAGAGAGGGGAAGGAGGAGGGGGAGGGGAGGAAGGAAGGAAAATAGATGGATGAAGGGGTAAATGGGTGGAGAGGATAGATGAAAGATGAATGGATGCAAGTGAATGGATGGATCAATTGATAAATGGGTGACAAAACAGACAGATGGATAAATGGATAGAGAAGGAAGGGAGGGATGGAAGAAGGGTAGCTAGTTAGATGGAGAATATCTGCAGAATGGATGGGTGGGTGGATAGATGGGTGCAAGGGATGAATCAGGTGTAAAGTGGATGGGTAAGTGGATGGACAGATGGATGGTAGAAAGGAGAACCGGCACAGAAACAGATTGAGAGGCTTACTTTCTCTGGTTGTCAGTCAGTGTGATTCCCTGGGCAGAGACCTTGAAGTGAACAATAGTGGCGGCTGGTGTGGGGTCAGCAGCCAATGTCTCAGATGTGGCTTTGGAGATGGCCTGAGGCCCAGTGAGTGACTCCATGTCCACGGAGTTAACGAAGAGCACGTTGCAGGCTAGAAGAAACCAAGCCAAGGAGGAGTCAGAGGGCTGGAGTGGATGGGGACAATCCCCCATCCCACTCTGCAGGGAGATGGTAGAATATAAATTTCAGGCCAGCCTTGGGACAAAGTATCTGTATGCAGAAATGTGATCTGCAGAGACATCTGGGCCCAGAGGAGACTTCCAACCACACCTGCAGGAGGGGGCAAGGCAGGAAGGTGGAATGAAAGGCCTGGGCAGGGATCCAGTCTCAGGTGACCACTCACCTGCTCCTTGCTTCAGCAGGTCGGTGGTTGAGTTGGCAGGGCCTGAGCTATCTTTCGATTCATCTGTGGGGTCTGAGACAAAAATTCAGCTAGTAATTAAAACCCTTAGAGCTGGAAAGAAGCCCAAGTTTGGCCAGGCTTAAAGTAAGCCTTCCACAGCAGGCCCTGGCAGTAGGCACTGTGTTAGATCCAGTTACTGGTGGTATTCAGCACACTGCTGGAGAGCTCTGGAGTCTGACAGCGCTGGGCTTGAGCCCTTGCCACAGCTCAAAACTATGATGGTGATGATGGTCCCCACATCACTGGGTCTTTGAAATTTTCCCTTTATAGTTTTTGGCCCAGTACCTGGCAAAAAGCAAGGCTTCAAGCATCAATTGGCATTGTGGTTGTTGTTTTGCACTGATGTGTCTTTGTGAAGATCAATAAATGGCTTAATTTATTAAACCACCAACCAGTACAGCCCAATTATTCTTTTAAGATTAGTAAAAATTGAGTGATATTGCAGGGCATGGAGGTATATACTTATAATTCCTGCACTCAGAAGGCTGAGGCAGGAGGACCATGAGTTGGAGGCCAGCCTGGGCTACACAGTGAGTCCCAGGCCAGACTGGATTACAGGACAAGACCCTGTCTCAAAAAATGAGTGATGGAATGTTACTTGACTTTACCATTTCATAATGTACTCTACACATGGCATGAGTTTTATTTTAACTATGCTATAATAAAACTTTTTTAAAAGAAAAGCAAAAAAATAAGAATCAAGTCTTGTTTGTAGCAGTGCTTGTCACACTTTGGTCTGCAGACTCATTAAAACAGAGATTGCTGGGCCCAACCCAGAGTATCTGATGAGAGGGGGCTCTGAGAATACTTGCATTTTAACCAGTTCCCTGGAGATGAGGATGCTGCTGGTCCAGGGACCAGAATTTGAGAGCTACTGATTTCTACAATTTAAATATCAAACAGTTTTGTAATTGCCAAACTACTCCAGTAAAGTCTATAAAAAAATAATTTAGTCAATGTCTAAATTGCATTTTTAATAATGCTGCTTTAGTTGTAGCTGAACTTTGAAGCTAACAGTGTTAGTCAATTGTTACTAATAATTCATGAGTTGAATTAGATAAAAGAAGTTGTCCACTAATATTGGAAGTTTTATCTCCTCCTCCAGGACTTAGTCTTCTTGGGCCTGGCTCCTGTTTCACAGGCCTCCCCTGGGAGGGGACTTATTCTGAGAAGTCAGTGTGAATGTCTTAAGCCTCCAGAGTATTTTCTAGAACAATTTGGCAAGCCAGTTCATATATGTTCCTGGAGTTAAGCTTTTTTTTTTTTTTTCCACTTCTGGTATAAATATGTCTTAAGATATAGCTTATTATCTCATCTTCCTAAGAACTTTTTGTAACTTATTATCAATAATCTGTGTAATTTCAAGGTGTCAAATTTGGTTCCATGAAGTCCAGCTTTCCATGGAAGTTCTTTATTTTCTTTTATTTATTTATTTATTTATTTATTTATTATTTTTTATTATTCTGCTGGGGGTACACTGTGGCATTTACAAAAGTTCTTATAACACATCATACTTGAATTCACCCCCTCCATCATTCCCCATTATCCCCATTCCCCCCATTCCTGGAATGGAAAAATGATACCTGTTGGAGTTAAGCTTTTAAATGAACTTTTCCTCCTTCCTTTTTTAATAGGAAGAGAGACAGAGAGAATAGTTTTGAGTTTCCCCCTAGTGGCAAAATGACTGGTGTCCTTAACCCCGGCCCCAATCTGGAGTGGGTGGCAGGGTGAGACATAAGGAGGCAGTTGGGGGGGTGGTGAGCAAGGAGTACCTCATCCTACCTCGGTTTGGAATGACCAGCTTGCAGGGCAGAGCCAAAGGGATGATGGAGTGCTGGTAGACCAGGGCTGACAGGGATCCTTCAGGAGTGATACAAAACAGCACATCAGGGCAGGGTGCCATAATTGGATAACCCACCCATACCTCATTACACAGCTTTTTTTGGAAGGGCGCAGGAACCAAACTCAGAGCCTTGATCTACACCTCAGCCCTCCTCAGGTTCTTTATCACCTCTCCCTCATCCTACCAACACAACTAGAAAATTCACTCCCTGTTTTTTTTTTTAAGCAAGATCCAAGAAAGAAGATTCTAAAAGTTCTCTGAAATAGTCATAAGGGTACCTAATAACTGTTTCTTGACTGAATGTTCCTCCTAACATCTCTCCTAAGCCCTCCTGGCTATGGGGACCCCTCTCAGAAGAGGGCAGGCACAATTAGAGAATTGTGGGATCAAGTCTCAGCTCAGTCACTTATTATCTGTGTGTTCTTGGGTAAATCTAACAAGTTTCTCAAGTGCAAAAAATGGAGACAATAACGTCTACCACACAGGATTGTTGTGAGACGAGAAATAATGGTCAGAAAGAAGGTACATGGACACTGACTTTCACATAGTAGGTGGCCAAGAAAAGCAGATGCTACAGTTGTTATTGTATTGTAGTGACAATCAGTCTTAGACACTCAGAACTAATACAGAAAGAAAGGAACCTGACAGAGTAAAGGAGCCACAGGACAAAGGAGAGGAAGTCACTATTCATCTTCTCTGCTGAGTCTATGACAAGGAGGATTGGCAGAATCCAGGTGGAAATAACTTGGGGTCAGACCTGGGGGAATCTAGTTCAGGGCCAAGACTCTGAAGTTGGACCTTAGTGACAGAGATGGGGTTGCTCACCAAAGTTTGGTTCATTGGGACAGCCCTTGAGCTTGACTCCTCTGGGACCAGTCTCTATCAGAAAGTGCCGCACCAGCTCATGGGTCATGTCTCCTGGGATGAAGAGGAAGAAACAGAATTGGTTACTTTATTCTCATGGCACCCTACCCCCACCTCCCAACACTGCTTCATACTTCTCCAGCAGTAGGGCTAGGACAGGAGAGTTGTAGAGCCTCTCACTTCCCTCCCACCCTCCAGGAAACACCACCACAGGGCCCTGGTAACCCCATTCCTTATTCTCTGACACCACTATCATGGGCCCAAGACTGGCTGTTCTTGAGTTTATGAGGTACCAGCTCTGATGGGAGTTTGGGACCTGCTCAGCACTCCAGGGCCCTTCTGGAGAGGACGTTACCTTTCTTGTTCTGCTGCATGATAGTTGGAGGGGGTGAAGACACCTTCATGGCTAGCCCATAGGCACCTCGGAAGGAGTGGCTATCACGGATGATGAAGGCTCCTGGCTCCTGATCCTTAAGGAGTGCAATGGCTAAATTGGGAGGAGACAAGAAGACAAGAGGAACAAGAATTTGGTGGCACTGGCTTTGCTTGAATCCCTATAGGGGCCTATCAGACTTCATTCTCTCTTAGATGAGAGTCACTCTTAAAGTCAAACTTTAAGTACTCCTAAGGATCTTCCTGTACCAAGTTGAGCAAACTCTTTTTGCAAATAGGCAGAGAACATATGTTTTAAGCTTTGCAGGCCATGCAATCTGTTGCAACTACTCAAGTCGCCATCACTGCAGAAAACCAGCCAGGCAAAGTGTAACCAACAGTTGTGGCCATGTTCCAATAAAACTTTATTTACAAATCAGCTGTCTAGATTAGACCAACAGACCTATGGCCCCACACCTACCCAGACCTTCCTTGAGGACCAGAGGTGGGCCTCACCAACAGTCCCACATTCCCAACTTTTTTTTTTCTTTTCTGCAAAATGCAAAAACCTTGCCTATCATACAGTTCCAGGTTTCATGTTATGTCAGTCAGCTTTTTGCTTTACCTATAAAAACCAAGGCTTTTTTTGGACTTTCCCTAGAAGCATCCATAGGCACTGCTTCTGCCATCCCTTGTGCCATGGGAAGTGCTTCTTGTGTGACTTCAATCCCAGTCCTGGCTCTGTGACCAGAGAAATGAGGCTGCTCTGTTCCTTGCCATGGTAGACATGGCGGGTAACAGCCTGCTATGTCCTCTAACGGGCCACAAAGCTTCCTGCTTCCCCATACTCACCCTGCTCTCTGGAAATCTCAGGTTTGTACCAATACTTGGAAGTGTCCTGGACAAATTTCACTTTCGCCCGTGTCTCAGGGCTGTTGTCTAGAGGAGAGGAAAAGGAGGTATCATGGGTTGAATTGTGTTTTCTCTCCCACTCCTCCCCTGAAAAGGTAGGTTGAAGTGGCCTTATTGGGAAATAGGGTCCTTGCAGATGTAATCAAATTAAGGAGAAGGATGCTGGATTTGGGTGAGTCCTAATCCAGTATGACTGGTGTCCTTAAAAGGAGAGGAGACAAAGAGACACATGGACAGCACCACGTGAGGATGGAAGCAGACTGGTTGGGTGCATGTACAAGCCAAGGGACACCAAGGATTGCCAGCAACTGGGAGAAGCTGGGAGAGAGGCCTGGAGGTTTCTCCCTTATACCCTCCAAAAGGCACCTTGATTCTGAATTAGTGGCCTCTGCTCCAATGATAATCATTTCCATTGTTTTAAGCCATTAAGTGTGTAGTACTTTTTTATGGCAGTCCCAGGAAACTAACACAGAAAGGTAGTGTCCTCAAACCTCACAGAACATAGCACAACAGCATTTGTACCCATTCCCTGACTCCTACCATCATCTTGGATCACCCAGTCACTCTGCAGCTGAAAGGTCCAGCACAGCACACTCAGCCAGCTAGCCAAAAGCCCTTCCCTCAGGTTCCACCTTTCATTAGAAAGAAATCCTCCCTGCACCTTCCCTCTCACAGGCTGAGACACCCATCTTCCCCTGTCACATGCATATCAGTTTAACAACTGTGAGGCTGAGGCAGAAAGACCCACTTCTGTCCTCTTCTTTCAGATCCCCTCCCCCTTTTCCCACATGGAAAGTAGCATTCTGCAGTACATAGAGCAAAACCACTCCTGTCCTGGCACAAATGGGTGAAGGGCTGGCCTAGAATCCTGAGGCCATGTGCAGAGCAAACGAACCCTCTGCCCAGACCATTTGCAGACCATGGAATCGTCCATAGAATTTTATACTCTGGAGGGAGCTTGGACAAGACTGAGCCCAACTGTGTAATTATACAATGGGGAGAAGGGTTCAGAGGGAGTGACTTGCCCAAGTCACACAGATAGTAGACCAACAGGACAGCCTTCCTAGGTGACAGGATCAGCAGCCAGTTCAGCTACAAAAACACCAAGTCCTCCTAGTGAGGTATTAGGACATGTAGCCTTCATTCCCCCCAATTTTTCCTTCATTATTCTATTTCTTTTTAATTAACACATCATCATTGCACATATTTATGGGGTAGAGTGTGATAGTTCAGTACATGTATATAATGTGCAGCGATCAAAGCAGGAAATGAGCATATATTTCTAGCTCCTTATCTTTTTGTTTGGTTGGTTGATTTGGGGACAGAGTCTCACTATGTAGCTTAGGCTGGCTTCAAACTCTAGATTCTTCTGCTTCCACCTCTCAAGTTCTGGGATTACAGGTCAGTGCTGGACTATAGGCATGTGTCATTATGCCCTGCTCCATATCATTTCTTTGTGTTTGAGTATTCTCTCCTAATTCTTCATAAAATACATATGTGTTATTGTGAACTATAGTCTCTCCACTATGCTGTAGAACACTAGAACTTACTCCTCCTACCTATCTATGTCCTTTCATAGCTTGGCACCAAAGAAAAAAAGGAAGGAGAAGGAGGAGGAGAAGGAAGAAGGAAGCCAAAAAGAAAAGGAAAAAGGAATATTCCAGCTCCACAGTTATCCTCTCCTGTCTTCAGGAAGAGAGTGGAGCAGAGTGACCCCATGCTAAGGATGTTCTCAAGTTCCAGAAACAGAAAGGGAGACAGGTTTTGAGTGCAGTGGCTTGCATTACTCTTGGCTCCTGGGCTTTGTCTCTGAAGGCTGGGGTGGGGGTCAGCTCTTTTCCCTGCTGTGCACCCAGGAAGACACAGGGCTGTGCACGGCTGCTGCCAATGCCTGTCCTTGCTCTGAAGCCCTAGGCCCCACTGCAGCCAAGTCCTGTTTGAGGAACTGTCAGAGGCGGCTGCAGTCCCATGTGCCTTCCTGTGTTGACTCCAAAGGCTATTTTAAGTGGAGAGGATGGTGGGAAACAGGAAGTGTCTGAGTACTAGAAGTTTTGCATCCTACAAGGAGAAGGTATGGGAACCAGATGTCCCTGGTGGGCAGCAGGAAACAGGGGGGTGTGGGGTCACTTTAAATGTCCTGGCTTGGCAGAATCAGGCAGGAACTGGGAGGGACACAGGGAGAATCTGGGCACCAGGGACCCATCCCAGGCTGCTTGAAACATTCTACATCTGCCTTGAACCCACAGGGCTTCAGGGCTACTCTGCACAGTCAGGGTCAAGGTCTGGTTGAGAAGCCAAGGACCACCTGAGGCCTTGACCTGTGTGTTTAAAGAACAAGATCCCTATATGGAGGCCAAGTCACCAAGTTCTGGGGATGGACAAAGAATTTTCTGTAGACCTGAACAGGTTTCCATGAAGACTGGTCTGTAGAAACTAGGCTCTGGTAAAAATGCTAACCCCAGCCTTGGCCCATGTCACACCTAGCCACCAGACACACCATCACTGACAAGTGTACAGTGGGGCTGGCAAAAGGCACAGAGGTCCATGTTTGGAAGGCATGTTCTCAAAGATCAACTAAATCACAGGATACAGACACATGATAAAGACAACACCAATAACGCTTTAAGAGCACTAGTTCTGGAGTAGAACGGGACTGGACTGGAAGCCTAGCTCTGCCACTATTAACTGTAGAATGCTGGACAAACAAAGCCTCAGTTTGCTCCTGTGTAAAACAGAGGTAATCATACCTGCTTTACCAGGGGGCCATGAGGATTAAATGAGGACCTAGCTCAGAGGCTGGTACATGGCATGTGTTCAATGAGTGGCTATGATGGTACTAGCAATCATAACAGTAATGCTATTCATTGTCATTATGTTTTCACCCTCATCCTCATCACAGCACCTGCAATCATAGCCACATTTTGAAAACATGACTCCTGTTACACAGATGAGGAAACTGAGGCCCACAAGTCAGTGACTCACCCAAGGCTGTCTGCCAAGGGAGTGTCACAACAGAGACTAGGACTCAGTGGTCAGCAGGACAGGTGGAAATGAAGGGGAATAGGCGCACCTGGCATGGAGTATTTGGAGAAGTCGGGCAAAGTGTGGGAGAAGGAGACAGTGCTGCCCCCACTGGGACTGGACATGCCACTGGCGACGGGTGAGGAGGACACCTTCCCATTGATGGTGGCGTAGTTCGGGAGGCTGCCTGCCCGGTCACCCACTGACATCCTCCGCTTCTCTGGCAAGGCTGGCGTTGGGCTCCCTTGCCGGAAGGTGGCTGAATCCGGCGAGGGCGAGGTGGCAGGGCTGCTCAGGCCAGGGTAGTAGGCAGGGGAGACAGGGAAAGAGGGCGTGGAAGGAGCCTGGTAGCCCGAGGCACTGCTCTGCCGGGACAGTGTGGGTCTCCGGTCCTCAGGGGTAGAGTAGCCACCACAGGCCACATGCCGATCCAAGCTGGGACTGCCAGGGACCACAGATCCAGACCCTCCCAGGTGGCGGCCCAAGCTTGGGCTACCAGGGCTGGCTACTATGTTACCATGGAGACTAGAGGCCAGGTTTCCTTGATGGGCCCCAGGGTGCCGGCCCAGACTGGGGCTCCCTGGAGTAGTGGCCATATTGCTGGGGACACCTGGAACTTGGTGGGTCCCTGCTGGGTGCCGGCCCAGACTGGGGCTCCCAGGAGTGGTCGCTGTACTGCTTTGGTGGCTAGAAACCATGTTACCATGGAAACCAGGGCCTGGTGAACCCATCACCTGATGGTGGCTCAAACTGGGACTGCCAGGGGCAGTCATGCCAGGGTTGATGGCTCTCCGGCCGAAGCCAGGACTTGGGGGAGTGTTGGTACCCACTGTCCTGTGGCGGGCCTGAGGGCTCCCGGGCACTGTGTGCACAGCAGCCACACTGAACTGAGACCGGGCCTGGCTTTCTGGAGAAGAGTTGAACTGTTGAAGGGAGTAGTCAGGGCTGCTGTAGTTGCTGCCCACAGTTGGGAGAGGAGAAGAACTCTGGTAACTTCTCTGAGCTGCAGGGCTGGGCTGCCCCAGGCTGCCGGAGCGGAAGCCGGAATCCAACAAGGGCTGGGTGGGTGTCCGTGGGCCCTGGTCACTGCTCTCTCCTGATGGGAAACTCCCCACTGAAGTGCTGGAGAGACATGATGGGTTGAGAGGTCAGCAGATGGCATTAATGAAGGACGGACTTTCAATGGTACCCAGCCAACTTTGCAACCACTAACAGCAGCGATAGGAGCTCCACCCACAGCATAAGGGAATGGTAAAGCTTTTAGCATTACCTTGTGGAACCACCAGAGAAGAAATTGAAGGTCAGAGAGGTTAAGCAGTGAGCTCAGTATTATAAAGCTTATAAAAACTCAGGGTTTCAACATAGCTGTGTCTGATTCCAAAGCCCACATATTTCACCACTGCACCATGCTGACTCCTGAGCCAAGAAAGAAATCTCCACCATGGAAACCAAAGGAGGCTGTCCTGGAGCAGCCTCCAGCATCACAGAAACTCACACTAGAAAGCAAGTCAAGCACCTGGCTTCCATTCCTACCGGGGGCCGACCTTGACTCAGTTTCCTCATCCTCCTTACACATCGAGAGTGGTAGAATTGGGCTTTTACTCCTGGGTGGCTCCAAAAAAGTGGAAGAAGTGGAATCATGGGAGAAGTTGAAATTAGGAGACTTGGACTCATCAGAAGATGTGCTTCCTAGCCACTGGATCTGGTCTCTAACGGAGCAAGCTGCCATGCATTTCACCGAGGCTCTCTTCACTAGGAGCATTTAAGCAGAGGCTTGCAAACCAACTGGCCTGAACGATGAGATCAGAATCTCTGTGGAGAGGTTCCATTAGGTAGCTCCCAATTCTAAGCCTCTAATCAAATTGAGCTCATAGAGGACTGTGCCTGGGGTAAAAGCTACCATTAAAGATTCCTCTGTAAAGTCACATGCAGGTCCACATGGAGGTACCTATGTAACACAACGGCCTGTGAACTGGGAGACCTTGCTCCTCCTTGCTGAAGTTTTTCCATATGGAAAATGAGGGGCTGGATTAAATAATACTGATTCCTTCTAGACCGGAACCTCTATACATCTGATAAGGTAGGAGAGACAAAGGGGGACAGGAGGGACCTGGGCGAGCAGCAGCTGTGGAGAGGTATCAGGCAGGCCATGTGCCAGGAGCCCCAGGTGGGGAGGGGGTCTGACACAGACAATGGGCCCAACCTTAAATCTCTCAGAAGGATAAGCTCAGGTTCTCTGGGGGATCTAAGGGTCTGGAGGGGACAGGCAGGAGCCAAGGGCAGGGAGTAGGCCAGGGGCCAGGCTGGGACAAAGTCTACCTTGTACCCCCAAAGAGACCAGAGCAGAGCATTGTTTCCTGGAAGAGAATAAAACTGGGTCCTAGGGGATGGGAGAAAGAGCAGGGTGTATCAGGTTGGAGGGGGTGGAATTCTGGAAGATGAGTCCCAGAGGAGGAGTGTTTGCTTCCAGAGTCCTGCAAAGAGCCAACACTGCACAGGAGGAATCTGGGTGAGAAGCAATGAAGACATTCCTAACTCACTGCATCTTAGCCTTGTGACCAGGGCAAGTGAAGGAAGTCCCCTTTCCTTCAAAAGGGGCCACACCTTCAGAGCAATACAGCTTGAGCCCTGTTAAGCATCTGGGGAGGGACAAGGTGGGCTGGGTGGAGGGAGGGGGCAAATGCTTGGCTTGAAGTTTCAGAATTCTTAGAATCCAAAGGAAGCAGCCTCTGCTCATCAGCTCAGCTGGTCCCCACCCTGGACATGGGCAGGGATCAGTGTGCAGAGCCAGTGTGGGCCTGCAGAGAGATGTGAAGGAGGAGGGCTAGGGAATCTGCAGCACCATGGGATCCCATGAGGAAGGGAAGTAGGCTTGGGAAGGGAGTAGGGCAGAGTCTCCCCTCCTAGGGCAAATTCTGTCTACCCTCCCCCGCTCCAGGCCTCACCTGAGCTGATCTCACACTTTCTTTCCCTATGTTCCCCCAGTCCATGTATAGAGTCTTCACTTCCACCACCCTAGCCAAGCAGCTTCTCACTACACCCCGAACATGGGCCCCTCTACTGATCCTGTCCACAGGTTTCATCCACCCCACCCCCTCCCGCCCAACCTAGGCTTTCCTCTCTGTCCGACACACTCAGATGGATGCCAGCTGTTTGTCCCCCAAGACATTCCTGTCTCTCAGACTGTGAGCCCCCACATCCAACTCATCACACCCACGGCCCTTGTCCCTCTGTGCTGGCCTTCCAAAATGTTGTGCCTCCTTCTTCACCCCTCTCCAATACCTCCAGCCCCCAGAATCCTCTCTGCTTCCCTGGAATGAAATAGTGGCTCTTGCTTTGAGCTCTAAGCACCCTACTTCTCCACCAGCACTGGGCACACATGGCTGTCATCCCGTGAAGGACAGCAAGTCACACTGGTCTGGGAAAGCAGATAGAAATGCAAGCTCTGGAATCATATGTCTGCTGGCTGAAACCTGTTTCTGCTACTGCTCCCTGCAGGATCTTGAACAAGCTACCGCCCCTTTGTGCCTCAGTTTCCCCTCCTAAGATGTAGGAAAACAGCAGTACTAAGCTCCCAGGATTGCTGTGAAGAGTAAATAACTGTGCAAAGCATTGAGCAAAGTACTTGGGGATTGGGAAGCACTCACTGCCTACTGTTCATTACCGCAGGTGGATTTTAACTGAGAAGGAAGACTCAGTCATGTGGTGCTTTTCACTCCTTCAGGTACCACAGTGGACAGGGGGAATCAAGCACAGCCTGAGAATTAGAGCTCACTCATCCTGGCTCCCCTAAGATTCAGCCCTCGTGGGCACATTTCATGTGTGTTGATGAAGTCATCTACAGGGTGCAGCAACCAGGATGTGATTTCTGTCCCTCCTACACACACACCCTGGGCAGATCCCAGGGGCCTCATGCTCTTGCCCCAGGCCAGATTCCCACCTGAGCTGCTCCCCACCTGTGGCTTACCTGTCAGCACTGAGGATGGGACTGCTGGTGGAGAGGGGACTGGGGGAGACAAAGGAGCCTCCCAGGGTCCCGTTCCTCAGGGGTGTCTCATGGCTGTAGACCTGGGCAGCTGGGACACTAAAACTCTTGGGCTCAGCATCCTGAGCTCGGGGCCCAGCCACCGCTGTCCGCGCCACAGATTCCACATAGCTCCGGGGTTCTGGAAGGGGCAAGGGGACAGAGACTGAGCACAGGTCACTAGAGTGCTGGATGTACCTCACCCGACCTACCAGGAAACACTGTCCCTAGAGTCCAGCCTGGGGGAAAGCAGCAGAGGGACAGTCCCCCAAAGGATATCAGGGCACAATACCCACCCCACCCCGGGACAGCCTTTAACCAGGGCCTGGCTCTGAGAAGCTTCCCAGAATCAGACCCCAGGCTCCGCCTCCGCACATGACTATTAGAGCCTCTTCCCCAAGAATGTGGACATCTGTCCATGATTGGCATCCCCTTTGCTGGCCCTTGTCTTTTGTGGACCTGCTGTACATCCCCCAGGCCCTTCAAGGGAACCAGGGCCTCTAGAGTGGACACAGAGGGCCCACCTGACCTTGTTCACATCTCAGGATATCACTGGGGTCCTCCACCTGCTGGGCTTACTAACCTAGTAAAAGGCCTGTGCAGTGAGTCACGCCTAGAACCAGACACTATACACTCACCAGATCCTTCACTGTCAGGACACACCCACCCACCTATGCCTGATACACTCAGCATTCCTCCTGAGACGCCAGAGAAACTTGTGCCTGGCCAGAGCCAGACATTCTGTGCCCACCTCTGGTATTTCCGTAGTACCAGGCCCTTGACAAAGGATGTTTGCACACATTAGTACCACCTGATTGTCAGAGCAACCTAGGAAGGGGGCAGCAGAAAGGCCATTTGATGGATGAGGAGACTGAAGCCTGGACAATGAAATGACCAGACGCACAACTGGGACCCAGGTTGCCTGACTCCTGGTCAGGCAGGAGAACTTGTTCCATGCCCCATGGCCTCTAAGGCCAGCCCTAAAACTAGGCCAATATCAAACAGAAAGAGGAAGCAGGGCACTTGGTTTCTCCAAGGATGTGATTGGGGACAGCTGCTGTGCCTGTCACCCACAAACCTGGTACTATCCCTATCTCACCCCAGAGGGATAAGAACAGAGCATAGACCTGCTCCATCACTCCTGTGGTATTCACTGAAGCCAACCTGGGACACCATGCAGTCCTGAGAAGGCCACGCCCTATAGCCCTTGCAGGACAGGACTGTGATGGCCAAGTTGGAGATGAGCCCCTGACCCAGGTCCTTTAGGGAACAAGCCAAGGTCAAGTGATTAAAATGAAACTCCCTCCTCTAGCCGGAAGAACCTCACTTGGGGAAGGGGGAGGCCACCAAGGGGGTCATGAGACCTTACTTATAGGAGCACTGCCTCCTTCTGAGGTGGTCCCAGGCCTGACATCCTATACCCAGACACATCCTTCAGGCCAGGATCTTTGCAGAGGGATCCTGGAAGCTTGAGTTGGGGTACAGCAGTACATCTGAAAAGGGGCAGGTGTAGGGTAGTCTATTCCAGGTATCAGATACTGGGTCCTTTAAGGTGCACTTGGGCACCCAAAGCTGAAGCCCAGCTTGTAGACAGAGCCAGCTTGTGAACAAGCAAACCCAGGCCACCCCCCACCTCACAGAAGCCCCAGGCCACCTTTGCATAGAAGGCCTGGTCTCTGTGCCACCCAGGGCCAAGGCCCTGTGCAGCTAAAGATGCTTCCAAGGCTATGACCCAGAGCTGGGACCCTCCTCTGTAAAGGCCCAGAAGTTTCTCAGGTGTAGTGGGTCAGATGGTTCTGGTCATATTAAACAGATAGCATCTGCAGACAACAGCTAAATAAATGGGCATGACAGTGTGGACATAAAACTTTCTTTACTAAAATTGGTGGTATGCAGGATTTGGCCAGCTGCCAGAAGGTGCCGACCCCTGATCTAACCTGCCTCCTCAACCCAGAAGGGGAGGGTGGTGATTTTCCAAGGACACACAGCTAGTCAGTGGCATGGACACCAATACCCCAGCCTCTGCACTCACAGTGCAGATTCTGGGTGGCCAAGAGAAGGCCCACAGTGTTACGGGAACACCTACAGCTGGCTGCTACTGGTATGCCAGCCCCAAGAGCCAGCTGAGTGCCAACCATGTAGGGCCAGTCAGAAGGACAAAAATAGCCAACGATCATGTGAGGGCAGCAGGATTTGGAGAATGTAAATTCCTTGGCCTGGTCACAGCTAGCAAGGGACAGAGCTGTCCTAGGAACCTAGGCAGCAAGCCTGCCCTTGTCCATAGCACATGTGCCCATCTAAAGTTAGAGAGCTGATGGACACTGTCGTCAGTCTTGGGGAGCTGGCTTGTCCTGGGATGGTAACCCAGCTTGGTAGAAGGGACCCTCAGAGGGAGCCTGACCCTCAGAAATGCAAACAACACCCAAGCCAGAGCCACCCTCCCCTTCTGTCCCTCACTCTCCATTGCCCTAGCCACCCCCTCTGAATACTTCCTGGACCCTTTCGGGTGTTCTGCATGGCTCTGACCAGGTCCCTGTGGCACACAGCACCTCTTTTCTCCCACCCACATATAACAAGGGAGGGTCCATCTGCCCCTGACTGCCTGCGGGGCCCTAGAACACCCACAGCCTGCCTGGCTGATAGCATATCCAGCATCTCATACAGTGTCTGACACAAGCAGGTCTCCGTGCATGTCTGTCCCACCAATTCAAAGACACATGACCCTTACCCTCCTGCCCCATCCACACAGAGGTTCCTACAGACCTACAAGGCATACACTCATACATCCCATTCCCAAGAGCTTGGGTTAGCACATACAGGGGATACCCTCTCCCATCCACTTTCTATCTCACCTTCATCCCTAGTGGATGCTTTTACCTACTGAATCACTCAGACCCCTTGCCCCATGGTTCCAGATGGCTTTGGCCTTTGGCCAGCTGGAAAAACTGGCAGATGAGAGGGATGAAAGGTCAGGGAACAGTGGCTCTTACCTTACCTGTCCCCTGCCACCCGCAGCACTCACTTGACTTAAGCATGGGGGTAGGGCCAGCTCCCTCTACCTGCTGTGATACAGCAGCAGCACACAGGGACTCCGAATCATATCCCTCCTGGATTTGCCAGGCATTTCAATAATCTATTACCTCAACTGCCCCACTGGAATGAGTCAAAGCTTCTGCCAAGACCTGGACCCACACACTGGGTAAGCAACTCACATTGCTCTACACCCACCCTTTTAAAAAGTGCATGCATCCCTTCTTCCAATAAGAAGCTGAGAGGGTCCCACAGTGAGGACAGGTTCTGAGTGTCCAACCAGGGTCCCATGGCACTGTCTCCTCCCCCTTGTCCTGTTTGCACACCCACGGCACACCTCTGACCTGACCCCGAGCTGATGAGGGCCGCACTAGCCTCTTCTCCAGCCCCTCTGGCTTCTAAACCACAGAACATCAGAATCCTCACAGGATTAGAAATCTGAACTCACTTAACTCGCTTACCAAGAGAAAAGTCTTAGCATAGGGCCCACCGCCTTGGCAGGAGACAGCCCTGCAGGATGGGCTGCCAACTCAGCCAACGCCACTCAGAGACCAGCCCCACCTGACACCTGGCAGCCAGGCACCTTGCTCTGCAACTCTCTTCTCCCACCTTCTATCCTCCTCCTTGGTCAGCCTCCTCCTTCCTGCCCCTCCAATCCCAAACCTGGGGGTGAGAGGAATGAAGCCCTGCCACACCCACCCTCTGTAGTCCTTACAACTCAGAGCAGCAGGAGCCTTCAGGAGGTCATCTGCATTCCTGAGTCACCTCCAGACTGTTTAAAATCAAACTCAGGGTCAAATGTCAGTTTCCCACATCCTCAGACTCATTTCTGCATCAAAAAATGCTTGCTTTCCATCTATTCCTCAGCTAACTCTGCTTCCCACCTCAGGATAGAATATTTACACTTGCGGGTGCCCCTCCTTCCACTTGCTAGAGCCTTTCTGGGACTCAGAGTCCTCATCTGTAAAGTGGGAATGAGAACACCCACCTGCCAAGCTAGGACGGAGGGATGGCACAGGGGAAGGCCCTCTGGAGTCTTGCAAATTCTGGTTGTTCACAGTGTGTAGAACTGGCCCAATCTTGCCTATACCCTGGCCAAGCTCCCTGTCTCTACCACAGTCCTCCATGGGGGCTCCTCCTCCTCTAGTCTCTCAGCAGCTGATCTACAGGCTATGGAGCTGGGAAGGGAGGGCGAGGTGGGGCTGGGGAGAGAGGGGTGCTGTATGAAGAACATTCCAGGAACCCAAACCCCTTCCAAGTGGCTGCTGGTGGTTAAGAGCAGCTGAGAGTGCTCTTCAGCCTGGGCACTGTCAACTCTTTACCCACACCCTCAAGTGTATTTCTGACTTCCTGAAAAAAATTTGGTTGGATAAAAAGGGCCTACCCTGCCCACGCTGAGGAAAAGGAGGGCATGTGGGGGCTGAGGGATGGCTCAGCGGTAGAGGCCTTGTCTAGTATTTACAAGGACCTGGGTTCATTTCCTGTCAACAAATAAAAAAAAAATGGATGGTAGAGAAGGAGGAGACAGTGTAAAGAAATTTCTGAGTCCCAAAGATCTCACAACTCCCTTTCCTACCCAGATCAACCTTCTGCCCTATGTTGAAACTGGTTGGATGGATCCCTCCCTGAGCTGCCTCGCTTGTCTTTAGACTGCCAATGTCTAGCACAGGACCTGGCATATACTAAGTGCTCAGAAAACCTGCATTGCACAGCCCTGCCTCGAAACCTTTGATATGGCAAAACACCCATCACCAAGAATCTCTGAGAAGGGACAGTCCACAGAGAGGCATTTCCAGTCCAGTGTGTTCCAGTATGCCCCATTTGCCCACACTGAATCACTGGGACAAACAGAACCTCCCCTGAATGTCTCCTGCCAAGGAAGCCATTCCTGATGTTTACCTCATATTCTCATTGGCAGGCTTTGTTCCCCTCCTTCCCTCAAAGAGAAGGGCACCAGGTCACCACACCCAGGAAGGTCACTGTCCAGATGCTGAAGTGCCAGTAGAGTCCCTGGAAAGGGATACTCTCCACAGACTAATCCAGTGCAAGCTCAGCAGTGCTCCCGACTGACTATGCAGGCCTGCACAAGTCATCTAATCTACCTTGTTGGTAAAATGGAGTTCCTACCACCTTCCTTTTACTCTGCTATGATTACTAAGCAAGATGAAGTGGCAGTGACCCCATGTGGTCTGGATCCTGTCTGTTTAACCTTACTCCATAACACACACACACACACACACACACACACACACCCCTCTTATTCTGTGCTCCAGCTTCACTGACTTTGCAGTTCCTAGAAAAAGCAGACTACTCCTTCCCACCCCCGGGCTTTGCTCACACCATTTTCCTCTGGTCTTCTCCCAGCTGAGTTTCACCAAGTTTATGTCATTCACCCTCACCATACTTCTTCAGTCCAATTCTTTGCCATAAGGTATTAGAAAACTATATCCTTTCCCTCCAAAGCACCTAGTGCATAATTCTGGTTCCTATTCATGCAAACTTTCCAACAGATTAAGAGCCAAATCTCGTACTGCCTATCATTACATCTCCAGAGCATGGCACACAACAGGCACACAAAAAAGTACTGAATCAGTGAATGAAAGAATGCACGGATATACTTAACACAGTGACTTGAACAGAGCAAATATCCCCCAGATTCTTCTTTTCCCCCAGCTGAATAGTTGTGCTACTCATCATTTTTCCTCACAGGCCTCTTTTTCTGAATTTCCCATCAGAGTTATCAGCAGGAAAAACATGCAGAGCATCTGAGGGTCAGCAAAGAATGTGTTCCAGTCTGACCTAGGAGGTGGGGCCTGAGTCAGGAAAGCTGGCATGGCTGCCCCAGAATTGCTCCCTGCCCTTGCCTGCCCACTCCCCAGGCAGCAATTCTGACGCCCACAATGGAATCCCAGGGCACGGTGCCTGGAGGTGGGAGGAGGGCTCTGAAATGGCCCCATGGGTAAGAGACAAGAGACCCAGCACTGCAGTCTGCTTCTGCTGCCTCCCACCTATGACCTTGCGTGGATCTTCCTCCCCCACACACATGGCAGGCCTCAGCTGACAATGCCCAGTGTGGCTGAGTGGGTCCCTAGAAACTGGTTTTCTCAACTTTCATGGTTCTGGGACAGTGGAAGGTTAGGGGACTCTAAGTCTTGTAAGCTGAAAGTCACTTGTGAGACACACTTGGCAGGTCTCAGTTCAGCTCTGCTAGTCACCACAGAGACACAAATCCCAGGGTCCCCATCCCAGGACCTCCTTGAATGCCTGAGAGACCAGTGGCCAAGTCAGCAGGGATCTGAAGGTCGGGCAGGTGGGCTGCAGCCCACCTCTTCCAGCCTTGCCCTCCCAGCTGCACTACACTGTGGCTATCAGGAGCCAAAAGTCAGCCTCCAGCCTGGGAGAAGGCCTTCCCCAGAAAAGAGGCTGGGGAGGTGCAGCCCTGGTCCTGAGTTCTGGAATCTGCTGCTGGTGCTGTCTTGTTCTGCAGCCCCCAAGCAAGCCAAGGTTGTCTCCCACATTCAGGCTAGTTAGAAACAGACAAAGCCTTCTGGGAAGCTCCACCACCTTGCCTGGAGACGGCAGAGTCAGGGACCATGACAACTTGTAGTGGAAAATCAAGGTGATGAGTGAGAAGGAAAGTGGGCCTCAGGAAACCAGACTGAGTCCTTAGAGAGACAGCTATCCAGAACCAGGGCCCAGGTAGAAACACCTAACATGGTCCAGCTGGAAAAGATCTCAGTGCCACCTCATGTAGCCCCTCCTGGTGGAAGGTGACATCAATGTCCAAGGAGCCACTGAGGTCCACATTCCTTCATTTACTGCATTCTGAGTCTTCATTTGAGTTCTATCCCTAGAGAGCTAAAGACTTTTTGCCAGAATATGTCCCCACTCTGCTTGCCCAGGGCACAATGCAGGAGTTCATCCACATCAGACTTAGGCAGGGCCCCACAGCCATACCAACTCCTTGACATTCTGCTGAGAATCACGTGCATGGGGTCCCAAGGCATTTTTGCAGGGAGTGGGTCCACTGCTTTCCTGAAATCCCCAATGGTATCTGAGGTCCCAGAAAGACAAACTTGCTGCTCTCTGTGTGGACAGGAACGTGGGCAGAGGCTTTCATAGGGCAGGTCATGATCTATGATAATAGCTCTAAACCAACAGTAATTGTCCACCTGGGGACACTGGCCACATTGGAGGCATTTTGGGTTGTCGTGATTGGGAGAGTTCTACTGACATCCAGCAAGTAGAAACCAGAGATGTTGCCAAAGACCCCTACTGCACAGAGCACTAGGGCTCAGCTGGGCTCAGGAGAGAATCCTGCCATCTGCCCCAGAGATAGAGTCTGAGCTCCTCTCTGTCTGCCTCTGTGTGCACCACATACCAGGCAGATGGCACAAATACCCCTGGGAGAGGAAGTGGCAGGAGGGACATCTTTGTCAACAGGTGGCACCACACTGGCGCCTGGACACTGGCTGTGCCTGATCTGGTGCCCAGTGGCTACAAACTCCCCAGGCAGCATTCAGGTGGCACCCAGGGTGGCATCTCATCGCCAGGAGGTGGGAACAAGAAGGCTATGTGCCTGGTTATTTGAGTCCAGGTTAGAAGAAAGCTGCCTGGATCAAGCTTTGTCAAGCTCTGCGTGAAAAGCCATTCCCAGACCAAGAGTGCAGACAGCAGCCAACCAACAAGCTGCACTTACCTTCTGGAAGTTTAATCACCTCCTTCCCCTCATCTTCCTCTGAGGAGGAGGAGAAAAAAGGTAGGGGAAGGAGAGGCAGGGAAGAGGGGCAGGTGATGAAGATGAAGGAAAGAGAAAGAGAAAAAGAGAGAGACTGGTTAACAGGGATGAATTCTAAGAAAAGAGAAGCAGGAATGCTGAGGCAAGGAAGAATAGCCCCAAGGGGAGAGCTGAGGTCAGCCCCACACAGGACTCTGGAGGTTAGGGCACAGTTTGGGCTCTTGGGAGCCTGTCCCTCTCACAGCTATGACCAGGGCTAGAATGGGTCACATCTGGAGCAGCAGGTGCTGGCTGGTGAGAGGCAGCCCCAGCCCCTTCACCTCCCTGGTGGCCCAGTGCCCCTGGCCATGCTGTCACCTCCCAAGTGGGAAGCTGTGCCCCAGTCAGCCTCTGCATGGGTTACAAACACATTCCAGTGCCTTTCTACCTGGGTGATCAGTCTCTTGGTGACTAAGGAGAAAAGGTAAAGTTGATCCCAAGAGCCCAGCTCAGCCCTAATGCCAGTCATTTTCTAGTAGTCATTTTCCAGGCTCAATTGGCTCCAAATCACCATGAAAAGCCCAGGCCCCCACTGTCCCCCTCCTGGGAAATAGGAAGGGGAGGTGGGAGGTGTGAACCCAGCAGCCACCCCCCTGGAGAGGTCTCATGCACAGACAGGCCCAAGGCTCTGGCCACCACTCCATAATCAGGGCAGGCTGTTTGACCCAGGAAGGCCCCAGGGTCCAAGTCACATCCTCAGCAGTAGGTTCAAGCGCTGGTAATGTCAGGGATGTAGACAAGGGGACAAGCAGAGGCTACCTGGGGATGGCAAGGACCTTGAACAGGCAGCACAGACCCAGGCCTGAAGGTGAGAGGGATGGTGAGGTAGCAGAAAGTGGTGGCTACACCTGAGCAACAGGTTTCCCAGAAAGGGTTTTATGGGCCCAAAGAGGCAGACAAAGGCAACCAGACGCCAGGGATCTATATGTGCACATATACACAAGTGCCTGAACCCTGCGGGGAGATGGGGGTGGGAACGGACAGGCTTCTAGCCAACAGCAGACTGACTCCAAGGAAACTCAAAGCAGGCCTCAAATCCCCAAGGCCACAGAGGTAACACTAAGCAGGAAGGCTGCAAAGTGATGTCACCCTAGCCCTGGCACAGAGCCTCCCAGGTCTGGCTACTATCTCATCTCCAGGAGCGTCCTGAGACCTCTGCCCTGAGCGCAATCTGATCAGACCCCTGCCCAGGCTACAAGGTCCTCCTCCCTGGCCTCCCTCACCACCTCCCTTCCAGCCAGCGACTCACCACCTGTGGGGTGTAGCAGGATGTCCGCTGGGTTGTGGGGTTTCAGGCCCAGAGCAGACAGGGGTGTCTTGGCCAGACCTGGAGGGGAGCGTACTGTTTGGAAAGAAGAGGAGAGACATCAGGAATGAAGGGGCAGCTGTGGGAGCCAGACAAGTCACAGTGACAGCCACCAGGAGGGAGGGTATTGGTGGGCCTGGGTAACCCAGGAGCCAGCCCCAGCTGCTCTGGCTCTACTCCTTTCCCTGCCTCTGTGTTTCTCCACATTCCAGCAACTTAAAGGACAAAGGAAAAGAGTCAAGAAACAAGGCCCTTGTCCTGGCCCTGTCCCCAACCTTGAGAGAACCATTTCTACCCCAGGACCTTAGCTTCTTTCTATAGTCCCTTGATATCACCACAGTTCACAACACATACGCAGGCTTCTTCAGCTGTCTCTGCCCTTCTCTAGAATGTTCTCTCTCTTCCTTCCTGTTTTCTCTCCCCCAAACACACACACACACACACACACACACACACTCTTTGTAAACCATGTACATGGAGGGACAAGCAAAAATGGAGTCTCAAGATGATATGTGCTGAAAAGGACAAAGGGAGGAGACAGAGGTCACAGTCTGGGACTCCTGACCAGTCATGAGGCTCAGAACAGCCCTCTGCTGCATGTGTCCCTCACAAATTGCAATAGGAGAGACCTTCTCAGGGTAGGACTCTGTACCCCAAGTCTCAATGCTCTGGGAGAAGGGAAAGCCCACACACTCCTCCACCAAGGCACCAGCTTCCTGCACAAAGCCCAAGCTCATCCTGAGCTGCCCATCTGGGTTACAAGTGTCACATAACACTCAAGGTCAGAAAGGGCTGTGAGCCTTTTCCCATCAGCCAAGGACTCTGAGCCAAGCTGCCAGGTGGTTTTATGGCCAGTCACGAGATGTCTGCTACCTTGTCTCCTAACATAGCTCAGAGGAGAAGTAAAGAAATGTGCTCTGTTTCTCCTACCAAGTCTCCCAGGAGCCTGCACAGGTCACCTCCCCAAGACATCCCTGCTGCCCAGTGGCCTCAACAGACCAGCCATGCATGACCTTTGGAAGCCCAGGACCAAACACAGTTCCAGACCCTCCCTAGGCCTTGTGCTTTTCCCAGAGAGACCTAAAAGAAATGAACAGAAACAGGAAAGTACTATCACTTAATCCATGCAGCATGAACAACTTATGTGTGCACACCCACACAAGGGAGCAGGGCGACATCACAGAGACAAGATGGGGGCCTGCTTCTGCACTCCACCTCACTCTGTCTTGAGATGGCCAAGGATAAATATAGCATAGAGGAAAAATGGGTACAAACACACAGTTCCAGGTGCTGGGTAAGTCTAGGTCTTTTCTCCTCTCTCCACACTGTCTCCCCATTGCCTAACATGGCTTCTTGCTCATAGACACTCCTCAAGCTCTTAGTAGTATTTGTCAAATGGAACACCCAGCTGAATGGCATAATTTGGAAGGAATGAGCCCAGCCTCAGACTGCTGTTCATGGTAGAACCATGAAGCAGCTCCAGCCCACCAGTCTGCATATGTGCTCTCTGGTCAGCAGAGGGCAGGGACCCATGAGAGAAGCAGAAGGTCATGGGAGAGACCAAACAGTGGGAGGTTTCTCTCAGTTTTCTCTCCACTCCTTTCTGTCCTCCCAGGCTCAGCATGGCCTTTCTGCTGAGGCAGGAGTGGGTAGCGCTGAAGCTAGGCAGCCTTTTCCTTCCTGAAAGAAAAATTCTTGCATTTCTCTGCCTTCCATCCTCTCTCCCCAGCCCTATGGTTTTGTGAAATCTCTGACTTATCCTTGTCCCCAAAGCACTCATGACTAGCCAAAGCAAAGGAGAAAGAAGGGCAGAACACAATTCTAGTACAATCCAAATGGCTTCCATCCCACACAGGGTGGGGAGCAGGGGGCATCCAACCCTTGGGGTTTGGGACCTGATAGTGAATGGAAGCAATAGTGAAAGTAGAAGGTTTAGGCCTCCGAGACAGATGCCATTTGAGTCACAAAAGGCTACACTGCTGGCTCCTGAGTAGATTATTCTAGGCCTGAAGTTGCTTTAGGTCCAATATGGCAGCCATCGCTCCAACATGGCTACTGAGCACTTGTGGTTGACTACTCTGAACTGAGATGTGCCGCAAATACACAGCAGAATTCAAATAGTATGCAAAAAGAACACAAAATCTCTTTTTTTGTTGTTTATTTAGTTATTTTTGACAGCCTATTCTAGTCTTAAATCTGCAATCTTCCTGCCTCATCCTCCAGAATGCTGGGATTATAGGTATATGCCACCATGCAAGGCTCATTTTTTTATATTAATAAAATACTAATAACTCAATAGTATAGATTAGAGTTAAATGAAACATTAATGTCATTGGTATCTTTTACATTTTTTTAAAAAAACATTGTAATACATCCCATATTATCTAAGTATTTTTAGATTTGTTTACCAATTGAAATGATAATATTTCAGCTTTAATAAAAATCTGGTTTTTTTTTTCTGGTCCTAGAGATTGAACTCAATGCTTGAGCCATACCCCTAGTCTTTTGCTTTTAAGTTTGTTTTTTGGACAGGCTCTGGAGCTTTTGCCCAGGATGGTCCTGGACAGAGATTATCCTACTTCTGCCTCCTGAGTAGCTGGGATTATAGGTGTGTACCACCATGTCCAGAATACTATTATTGTTGTTATTGTTATTTTGTGGTGTTGAGAATTGGACCCAGGGCCTTAGGTACGCCAGGCAATCGCTCTACAACCTGAGCTACACCTACAGGTCTTTTGTTTGTATTTTGTTTTTGAAATAGGGTCTCACTAACTTTGCCTGGGCTGGCTTTGAACTTGCCTTCTGCCTGCAAGTAGCATGCTCTACCACACCAGGCTTAATAAAAATATTACTAAAATTTGACCAGTTTCCTGTCATGTTTTCAAGGTGACTACTAGAGAATGCTAAATTACAAAGGCACTCTTATTCTATATCCACCAGCCAGCAAGGGTCATGACTTCTAGAGGCTGCTGATCTGTCACAACTTCAGCCTCCTGTGTGCCCAGACAACAGTCCACCCAAGTTCTGTTGGCATACAAGCCATGTACTATTGCTACCTTCCAGCCCCATGGGGGAGAGCCAGACTCCAGGAAGATGCACAGCTAGCTCCAGTTCGCCCTTCCTCACCCACCTCTCCTGTCACAATTGGGGCTAAGCCCAACCAACCTGATCCTTGAGCGTCACCAGGCTCTACTTCCAAGGATGGCTGAGATGGGGACTCTGCCAGTCTGAGAGCCCCAGTCCTTTATTTCCTCAGTAAAAACTACACAGTTTGTCTAAAATGAAAGAGGCACCTGGATACAGATTGAAGGGGATTAGAAGCAAGGGCAAAATCAAGTCACAGAGAGTCGCCTTAGGGGATCTATTGAGTGTAGAATCTGAAAAAGACTAGAACTAGGAAGCTCCAGAATGGAACAGCCCAGACCCCACAATCAGCCTGGAGTCTCAGAGTGGGATTGCCTCATACTTACATGTGTGAGAGTGGATGACAGAGAACACAGCAAGCACAACAGAAGAAAAGAAGTAGGGATGGGGTGGGATGAGCCACAGAAGTGAGAAGCAGCAAATTCTAGTCCTGCTCAACACATTCCCTCCATGCCACCCACACAGTAGGGACACTGACATAGGCCAAGATTGAAATGAGCTGAAGCAGACAGGGACATGGGAAAACAGATGTAGCAAGGAGTCCTTACCCCCACTGGGCGGTGGGCTGCTTGGGGAGGTTCCCTCCATCTCCTCGAAGGCCTCCTTGTAGCTGTGTAGATGGGGCTGCAGGAGAACAAATGAGGGGAAAGGGAAGGCCTGAAAAGGAGGTTCCCTCCAGAAGACCTTGAGAAGAGCAAGTGTACAGCCCACAAATTCCCTCTCCAGCCTGACTCTCCACCGATGCCCAGGTAAACCCAGAGGTCAAAGGGAGACGCTGGCCACTCACGGCCCCCACAGCTCCTTGTAGTTGGAACAGTAGGGGAGTGGCCACTTGCAAGGCCACATTCAAGCACAGGCCAAATTCGGGAACACCTGCTTTGGAAATATTTCAGAACAGGGCCACGGAGAAGGGGATGGGAATGGGGGACTTGGGTCCTGCTAGAAGGCAAAAGAGGAACAACAGCGAGTACTCCAGACTACTACCGAGCCTGGACGTTACAGGGTAGCTCAGAATCTCCCAACGTAGCCATGGATCACCTGCATCAGAATCTTCCAGGCTGCAGGCTGCACACTTAAAATGCTGGAATCTCTGCAGGTGGATTTGGGAATCCAGTTTTAAACAACTCTGCAGTGGTTCTTCTGCACACTGAAGTTGGAGACCCCATGCCTTTAACTACCAAAATGTCTCAGGAATGCAAACATTTGAGCATCTCCCAAGAAAGGACTCAAACATATTCTTGTCAGTCTATCTGACCTCTTGGACTTTTGAGATTGAGATCACCTATGTCGGCCCTGGGTCCTTATCACCCTCCTAAAGGGCTCTCTTTAGGAATCCACACAGAAGTTTCATTCTCAGTGTCATATAAGAAGTGGGGGGCATAAAAGCCAATGAAGAAAAGAAGTGGGCTCCAGATTCCACAGGCCAGAGAAGGGACCTTAGGTGAAGACACAGAGAGGGATAAATCACTGATTTACTAACAGTGCCAAGCTGACCACTAGATTCCTGGAGAGGTACAGTGGGTTCCACTACCCTCTTGGCCCCAAAACACAGATCAAGGACTCACCTCTTTAGGGCGCCCTCCAGGATTGAGGGCGATGGTAAGAGCCAGCTCAGGGGACACACACTGGACAGGGGAGCGGACCCCGGGGCTACGGGGGGATGTGGCTTCAGGAGACTGGTTCTCATACTGTCCATCGCTGGCTGCCCGCCTCCGGAGTGGGGCTGGGGGCTCTGCAGGCTGCCTCTCACGAGCCTGCACCCCTGGGAGGAATGGCAGGGCATGGAGGGCAATGAGCACATTATTTGAGAAATGAGCAATCCTGCCTAATCCTCTCTCCCGCTCCCCAGAGAAGGCAGGGCCTCTTAATACAGGGGTGGAGCAGAAGCTGGCCTGCTTCCCCTTAGTACCTCCCCCAGCCTTCCTGGGCCCAACTCTGCTCACACCCTAGGCTTTTTCCACAGAGTGTTTGGATTGGGCTCAGCCTTCAGTAGGAATCTCCACTCCACATAAGGTTGGGACCAAGAGCACAAAGGATTGATACAAGAAACAGATGTTAGCTTCTTCCAGGCCCTGGAGGCAGAGGGCCAGAGCTTCCAGACAAGGGAGGGGAGGCAAGGAAGAGAGGGTCTCCAAGGCAACTGCATCAACCAACAAGCAACATAGAGCCCATAGGGAAGAGCTTTTGGAAAGGGCTAAATTGCATCATCTTGCAAATGATGCTTCCAAGGAAAGACAAAGAAATGACCAAGTGTTGCTCTGGCATCCTCTGTCCCCACTGGCCTGCTCTAGGATTCTCCAAACTTTATTCAACTTCCAAACCTCTTGCCAACTTCCCTTATACCTGTTCCTTAGCTATGCATCCCCTCTTCTCACCCCAAGATGGATGAAGACCCCAACCTGGCCCACCCTGCTGAAGGGCAGGCAAAGAGAAGTCATGTGCTCCATCTGCCTGTCTGTATTTCCCATCCCAGTCCCATTGCACAGGCTGGGCACATTGTCAGCCTCACCCTCCTCCCTCTCCACTCCCGCTTTCCACAGCTGGGCGAAGGCACAGAATCCATTGCCTCACTGAATTGGATCCAGAATCCTAGAAAACTTACTCCTCAGGTCTCAAAAACCAAGACCCCGCCTAAGGGTGGGACCCAAGACCTGATTATCTTCTGGAGATTCTTCACCGTATCTTCACCACTAGAACTAACCAAAGGTCCTAGGACCCTGAACACACATCTCGAACATATGGGAATGTGTACATGTACGTGTACACAGATGTGCCTAGGCTGCTGGCACCTAGGAACGTGCTGGAGCAGCCAGAAAGGACTCATCCTCATGCAGCCTAAACCGTCTTCCCATTTACAATGGGTCTGCATGTCCCAGCAGGGCCCAGAACTCCCAAACTGGCCCTACAATGGTTGCCATGACCAGCACCAGCTGGGAAGCCTTCAAGCTTGTCATGAACAGCAGCCTGCTGGCCCCCAAGTCCATGGGCAGATACTCTTCAACTCCCACATGCAGTTCCTGTGACTCATACTCATACGTTCCCTGGATCAGGGCTCTGAGTGCCTGTCAGAGAGCCGCAGGACTGGCACAGCAGATGCATACTTAAATACAGAAGGTGTCTGGGGGTGTTTGGGATCCCCACTTTGGGCAGGTACTCAAGGCAGCATTGCCTGCCAGCTCAACAGTGACTGCCACTCACAAACTGCTTTGCTTAAAGCAAATAAGCCCCTAACTTCAGAGTGCCCTTATTTTCAGAAAGAAAAATAGTGGTTACATGAGTCCCAACCAGGCGCTGTGAGAAGCATCCACCTGGAGGGGGAGGAAGGCATGGCTTTGGAAGAGCTAAGCCTTGCTGGTCTTCTCCAGCAATTCCAGGCTCCCAGGCCCCTGAAGAGCAGCTAGGCCAGCATCTCTGCCAGGCCTTGGAGAAGGATCCCCTGGCTTCAGTCATGCTTCTTTCTCCTTCCTCCAAACAATCCTTACCCCATATGGGCCTCCCAGGAAGCACTGCTGGCTTCAGTCCTGGCAGAAACATTAGAGAGAAACAGACACAGCCATTGATTTTCTAATAATATCATGACAAAAGAGGTCCGTTGGAGAAGGGCTCTGGGGTGCGGAGTTGAGTGTAGTCCCCAAAAGTGAAGGAAACACTTTTTAGGGATGGTTGTAGTTCCGGCCTTGCCTACCCAGGCAGGAAGCCTCTTTTCTGGCAGATCCCTTTGCCTTGTCAGGGTGGCGAGTTCCTCTACTGTGGATCTGATGTCTGCCCTTGGAAGAAGGATCTGTTTTCTATCAGAGGCTCTGAGTCTCCCAGAGGAAGAGAATGTCCTCCTACCTGGCCAGAATGACCTCTAGGCTCAAAGGCCACAGAAGATTGTGAAAGTTGGGACCTAAAGTGGTACTGAAAACCGGGTTCATCAACAGGTAGAGGACTCCTGAGAGAAATCTTGCCTCTCAGTTACCCTCCCCATTATCCCCAAGCTGACACATGTTCTGAGCATGTTCTAACCAGACAGGGGACAGGGCCAAAAGATCTCCAAATAGCCAGGGAGATGAAGGAGAGAGTCCCTCTTGCAGAAGGGGGAAGACCCCACATTCCACTCCCATGGACCAGCCCCTGCCCCCACTGGGTGCCCCATGGCACCAGTGGCCAGTCAAAGCCACTCACATTCTTTGAACACAGTGTCCCACTGTTGTCCCCCCTGGCAAGTCCATAGCTGCCCTGGAGTGCCTGGAGAGCCCTGTTCCCTCTCTCTCTCTCATCTCTGTCTAGGGGAGGGGAGCCAGGCATGGCAGAGAGAAGAGAAGAGAGCCCCATTGTTCATCAGTCAAGCTGGGATGTCTGGATACAAGCTGACAGCCAGTGTCCAAGAGAGAACACCCCCACATGTCCCAGAAACTGAATGATAACAAAAATAGGCCTGCTCCCCACTGCTGCCCTCTACCCGGGACTGTCTCAGTCCCTGCCCCATTCCCTTTCAGGGTCTCTGTCTCCTACACATACATAGGCAGTGGCAGGTGCACACTCACACAAACACACATGCACACACCGTAGCCTTGCCCCACCCAAGAGGGTGGCAGGACACTGAGATGTTGGGATCCCAGGAGGGGATCCTAGGTCAGCCCCTAGTGACCCCTGCAGGAGACCAGGGTGGCAGAGAAAGCTGTCGAAGAAAGGAGGAAAGAGAAGACAGGGACTCTGGAAGGTTCTTCCAGCCAGGCTGGCAAGTCCTGCCCTCTACCCCAGGAGACCGAAGAGCAGGAAGCCCTAGGGTAGGAAGGTGGCCTTCAGAAGCATGCCACCCTACAGCCAGAGAGCCTGTATCATTCTCCAAGGGCTGCCTCACATCCAGCACCCCGTGAAAACATAGTCACTTTAACCAAAGAACCACAACACAGGCCCTAGACCTAAGGAACAGCTAGCTCTTTGCCCAGGGAGCCCTCACTGTGCCACCAGGATGGCACTGTGCCCAGGGGAACAGCTCTCTCTGCCCAAGGCTTCCCTAATAGAGCTGGATATGAGACAACTGATCTCCACCTAACACACACACACACACACACACACACACACCCACCCACTCTCACACACACCTTATACTCACACCACACACACATCATCATCCACCACACACATACAAACACACCATCCCTCAATTATGTACATACCCTGTAATTCTGGGAGCAAAGCCCTGACACACATCACTACATGCACTTTGGCAAAGCACCACCACCCTGCCCCTGAGTCACGTGGACAAATACCCTGATTCCATCACAGCCCCCCACCATGACCCTCATAGTGGCCGCAAAACCCCCACAGACCCAGCTCTTCTTTCCAGTCTTCTGATTTCCAAAAGACTGGATTGCTCAGCTCCAGGTGGCAGGGCTGGGTGTCCAACTGCATGCCCGGGCTCCAGAAGTGAGGGGATCCAGGAAGAAGGCCACCTGCTGGGCCAGGGCACCAGAAAGCCACATGGCGATCACACTAGCAGCCCCAGGGCAAGCCATGCCAGCTCCCCTTGGGACAGGCCCCTAACCCCACACCCTGCCCAAACTCCAGGCCCCAATGAACACTACACTCCCCACCACGGGGCCAAGATAAGTGCAAAAGGAGAGTAGAGGAGAAGGAGGACAGTCTGCCTGAGCCATCTCCTGGTTATCCATGGATGGGACAAAAAAAGCCCAGAGGGCACAAGGTACTGCCACTGGGGGTCCACAGTTCCCACCACCCCTCAGCTTTTTCCTGAAGCTGTTCAAGACCTTGAAAGTGATCAACCTGAGTGCACTGTCTCCTTCCTGACAGTGGTCTCCAGGCTTGGAGATGCAGGGAAAGGACAGGGTGATTTTCTCCCTGGTCTAAGATGCTAGGGTCCCATATGTGCAAGAGTCAGGGGTAGACATCAGTGGATGACATCACCCTTAAATGAAGTAACAGGACCCCAGTGCACAGCCACTACAACCAGGACATGCCAAGACACTAGGCAAAATATGAAAGGGGGGTTGGCATCGCTCTACTTTTCAAGTAGGGGAAAATCAGCCGTAAAGAGTTTAGACACTTGCCAAGGTTACAGTGCAGGTACAGGCAGGGCCAGGACCACAACCCAGGCTTCTGACTCTTGGCCAGGGGTCCTAGGATCAGAGTGGGTCAGAGGGGTACTGTGTCCCCATCATATGCCATGCTTAGGAGTAGACAAAGCACCAGGAGCTGGACTTCCACTCCTTGTCATGTGCCTGGTAGCTCCAGGCAAGGCACAACATGGCTCCTTCTGAGACCTGGCCATGCAGCCCAAACCATCTGCCTGGGGACTGTGAGGAGCCCTCGTTGAGCACCTCACTGCAAAGGCCCATATCCCCATGGGGGACCCTGAAAGTTCATCTCTAGTTACTTCAGACCCTGTTCCCCGCAGGCAAGGCCAAGCTGACAACATGGGGCCTGCATCCATGCAGGGGTGGAGCCTTGGCTCATGCAGAGAGGGAGAGAGGTGTGGAGAGAGGGCGGAGGCAGAGTGGGTAAAGGGAGGGCAATAAGCAAAGTAGGGAGAGGAAAGAAACTGAGAAAGAGATGGAAAGGACAGAAGAAGAAAAGAGATGGGAAAATAGGAGGAAACAGAAAAGAGGAGAGATGGAAGAAGGAGGAAGGCTTGGAAGGAGCAGCACAGGAAGGAGAGGGTGAGAGAAACTGGGAGGTAAACAAGGGCTAAGGGCTACAAAGAGAGAAGGGGAAAGAGAGGAACCAACCAGAGAGGGAGGCAGCTTGGAGCTGGTGGAGAGGAGGGGGCCAGAAGCTGCCACTCTGCGCCAGGCCCTGCAGTTTGGCATTGTAGGCTGCCCACCCGTGCCCCAGGGGAGCCGGCAGAAGAGGAGACACCAGGCAAGGAAAGCACCCCACCAATGAACGGCACAGGGGACAGATGGACATGGGCACATGAAGAATACAGAGGACAAGGCATTAAACAAGACAAAACAAAACAAAAACAAAGAGAAAATTAAGATTAGTTGGTGTTCTACTCTGGGTCTGGCTACACACTGGAGGGAGGTGGGAGGGGAGCTGGACTAGAACAGAGGAGAGTTCTAAGGGTTTGCTCCAACAAAGGGCAGGTGGCCCTCCTGTTGGCACTAGGGCAATGTGTCCCCTTGTTTCTAACCCAAGTGGAAGAAGAAGGTGGCAGCCTGGGACCAGGAGACTTCAGTCTTTTTATCCCTCCTTCCCTGCTCCTTACACTCAGTCTGGCCCCCTAGGACCTCCCTTTCTCTCATGTCACCTGCCTCTTCTAAATCCAGGGTGACCCTATTGGCCAAAGCCCAAGGGTCACCCTCCCTATCATCACTTAGCCCCATGTTCTTCAGTTTCACCCACCCCAGTGAACCTCTTCCTTGGAGCCTTTCTTTTTCCACCCAAGCTGCTGGGCAGCACCAGAAAAGGCCTTGAAAAGAACCCATGTGGTTGCACTAGAAGGACCAGCCAAGTTGTCCTGACTCCTAGGCAGCCAGTATCCTGGCTCCTGTTCCCCTTTTATTTATTTATTTTTTTGGTGGATCTGGGGTTTGAACTCAGGGCTTTGAGCTTACAAAGCAGGCACTCCAGTACCTTGAGCCACAACTCCAGTCTGTTTTGCTCTGGTTATTTTGGAGATGGGGAAGCATTGAACCCAGTCCTCCCGTTCTCAGCCTCCCAAGTAGCTAGGATTGCAGGCCTGAGCCACCTGCTCCCACTGGTTTCCCCTCTTAAAATGTGGGAGACCCTTGGACGCAGTCTGTGGCATGTCCTTTGCCTATACTCCCCCTGGATTCAATCATGCTGTGCTGTACCTGGCTTGCACCTGCATTCAGTTACGACCTCCCCAAACTCCAGCCTCTCCCTCTTAGATTCCTTAGATGATCCACAGGCACCTCAAACCCAATGTGTCCCAAATTGCCCTCCACCCTCTCAGACAACTCCTCCCAGTTATGACCATCTCAATAATGCCAAGGACCAGCCTTTGTCTTTGCCTTCCCTTTTTCTCTCACAGTCCATGTCTAATCAGCCTATAAATCTTGGCTGCACCTCCAAAATATGTCTACAATCTTCCTCCCATCTCCTCGGCCTCCACCCTGATCAATAGCAACAACCTCCTAACTCATCTCCCTCCTTCCATCCTGGCCACACTGATCCTTTTAGAACAAGCCAAATGATGTCACTCTTTGGACTAAATCCTTTCAGAGGCTTCCCATACCACGCAGAGCAAAACCCAAAGTCCTTAGGATCACCTGTAAGACTGAGTGTAAGCTGGCCTCACTCCCATTACCTCTCTGACCTAATGTTGATCACCGCTCTAGCCACACCAGGCATGCTCCTGCCTCAGAGCCATTGCACTTACTGCTCTGTATGGTATATTCTTTCACTGCCCAAGAAAATCCTCCCTGACAATCCTGTGTAAAGTGCAACACCCAATCACTCTCAACCCCCTCACTGGCACTTCACTGCTTTATCACTATGGCACTTATCAGTCATCTAAAAAATTATATGTCTATTTGCCTATTTATCTAGTGCCCAACTCTGCCATGAGAGCAAAGGTTATCTATTGTTTGCCTAGACAGGCAAGTAGCACAGCCTGCCTTGAACTCGACCCCATATACAGCATGAAATGTAAAAAAGCAGGTTCTCCATTCAAGCTCCAAAAGCTTGACATCAGTATTTCCCTCTATCTTTATCCATCCTTTATACCTTCATGGAAGAGTAGCTCAACTCCTGGTTGAGCCTGATTTACACAGCTATCCCCTTTTACCTAGAGGCAAGGCTTCACTCCATCAATTTTTTTCTTCCTTGTCTATCTTTTCCTTCCTCTTCCATCTTCAACCTCCCCCTCTATGTGTCCTCCACCTACAAACATTCTCATGACTTTACAAACAGTTGCCAGTCTCTTGCTCCCCTCTTTAACTACAATTCTCTCCCCTTTTATCATAGAACCACTCCAAAGAGTACTTGGCAAGCTGTCTTCACTCCCTTTCCACTCACTCTTCAATCCCTCACAGTCTGGTTTCTGTCACCAGCACTCTGAAAATATGCCTTTGAAAATCCCTGGGCCACCTAATTGGCCAGGCCAATGGATTTCTCTCTTTATGATCTCCCCAGAGTGACACTGTCAACCCCCACCCCTCCTCCTTGAAACCCTTCAATCCCTTGACTTTTGATGACACACTATCCTAGTCACTGTCACCACCCTGAACATTCATTCACACATCCCTTCTGGTCTCCACTTTTCCTCTCAGGGCCATTACCTCCTAAATTCTCTCTCCATGCCTTCTGACACAGAGATTTCGCCCATGGTCAGAATTTAACCTCCACCCTGTGAGAAAGATTTCAAAATCCATAGTTCTTCCCACTCTTTCAAGCTCCAATTCAACACACCCCTAACAGGAGGTTCCCTTGTCGCCTCAGACTCTATGGAAACTGTGAAGTCATCTTGTGTCACAGCTCCTTCTCCTCCTCACCCACTGGGCTAAGTGTTAATGGGACTCCCCATTCTCCTATTCACAGAACCTGGGATCATCTTCCATGTCTCCCTCTCCCTGACCCAGTGGATTCCCCACAGTATTCGTGGCATCCTCTCATCTTTTCCACATGCATGGTCAACACCCTAATTCAGAGCCCCATCACCAAGGCTATCTAATAAGCTCCTAGCATCTCCTGGAAGTCACTCCCATGCTGCATCCTTCCTGCCCAGACCCACCAGGCACATCTTCCAAAACCACAGCCCTGACCATGACACACTCTCCTGACTAAACCACCTAATGGCTTCCTCCATTGCTGCAAGGTAAAACTCAGACTGTTACTTAAGACCATCCGAGATGGCCCCTGGTGGCCCTTCCTAAGTCATGTCTCTCTCTCTCTCTCTCTCTCTCTCTCTCTCTCTCTCTCTCTCTCTCTCTCTCTCTCTTTCCTGCTCCATCCACTCATTGCTCTGCAAACATGTCCCATGCTTTCCTGTCCTCATGATGGCCCTGCTGTGAACAGGGACCTCACCCACTTTCAAAACCTAGGCTCGGTTTCAACCCATACCCTACCCAACACCCCCTAACCTCTAGCCAACAGTGACCTCTCTACTTCTCTTGTGGAACATTCTTCACCCCTGTTATCATAAATAGCTTTATCTTTTCTGTTGGTGGTGATTTTGCTTTGTTTGTTTGTTTGTTTGTGGTGCCAGGGATGAAACCCAGAGCCTTACGCATGCTAAGCAAGCACTCTTACCACTGAGCTACCTCCCCAGCCCAAGACTTCATCTGAAAATTCATTCTTCCTCCACTCCTAAACCCTATACTCCTTAAGATCAACATCTCACTTCCAACATGCACTGAAACCTCCACATGTACAGGCATCCAATATCAATCTAATCGTACAATCAGGAACATAAGACATTTGGGCAGGGGGTGCTCCCCAACTCGGCCTCTTATTTCTTTCTCTTCTCATTGTACTGGCTGGAACATCGAAGACAATGTTAGATGACAGTGGTGATACTAGACATCCTTATTTTGCCCCATTCCTAACCGTGATATACACTATAGGTTTCTAGTACCTACTCTTTTGCAAATTAAGAAAATTCTTTCTGTGTTCTGAGATATAAACTGAAATAGGACATGATGGATGCCTGGTTCAAAGTGGAATGAACCAGAGACACAGTAATGAAGAATGGAGGCCAACCAAGGAGGAAAAAGAAGACCTAAGGGGTAAAAGCCAGGAGAAGCCAGTCACATTCATGGCCACCTGAGGCTTCCCCTCAAACCTGGGCTTCCAGGTTACTCGTATGGACGCTCATGTTTCTGCTTCTTTCAGCAGAATGTAGAATGAGCAGAGAGAGGCAGTGCTTGAAGTCTTTCCTTCCTTGCTTCCAGAATGTTCTACACAGTGCTTCTGCCCATATGCCTTTGCCTACATAAACACTGCAGACCCCCTGCCCATATGCCTTTGCCTACATAAACACTGCAGACCCACAGACATAAGAAATTCTGTTCATGGCAGGGCATGGACCAAAGAGGAAACTTCATAGCCCTGGGCATCAGCTATAGCTGTGCTCTCTATACATCTCATCCCTTCTCCTGCCTGAGCCTCCCACAGTTGATAGAGATGGTAACAGGGTTTGGGGGTACTGTGCCAAAAATTTCCTTCTCTCCCATGACTTCACGGCAGCCAAAACTTGAGAGCCTACAGAACCAGGAAGTTTACTGTGAAGATCTCAGAAGCTGGGAGGAGAGAAGAGGCTGAAGGGACAGCCACTAAAAATGGCTGTCCTCAGGACCATTAGCGTATGGCTTCCTCTTGAGTAAGCCTTAAGAGAGTAAAAGGCAGGGTTCTGGTAAGGGGAAGATGAATTCTGCCCCGACTTCCAGTAAGTCCCCAGGATCCTGCTCATAATTAGGCCTAGAGTATGCCTGTTCTTCAGCACCCAGCCTCAACTCTGTAAACACTGGGAGGGAAGTTGGGTGGTCCCTTTCCTCTCCCCTCAATAAAACCAAGAGGAAAAGGGCTTCCGCTGACAAAGCAGCCAGGGAGGTGTCCTTACATCAGAGGCTCATATGTGGGGGGAGGTAGAAGTCAAAACCCCATCTGGACCACCCCATGGAGCACTTCACCCCTAGAGTTCCAGATCTGTTCCTCCTGTCTTAATGCTCAGGTAAAGCAATCCAGGAGGCAAGGCCCTGACTGCCACCTTCCATGGTGTCAGTGATTCCACTACTGCAAGCTACCAAGTGGAACTGGGGGTTCCCCACTTGGAAATGCAGGAGCACGATGCTCATGACCACACCCCCCAGTCTCGGGCCAAACCCCAGAGCCAGCTGGCCTTCCCTGACTCAACTGCTTCCCCAAACCTGTGGTCCATCCCCAGAGAGGGCACCTCCCTCCCTCCCTGCAGCTGGCATGGTGACTCAGCTTCCCCTAAATTTAGGAAAAGGGTGGAGGGCAGAGCCAGCTGACCAGCATCTTCTTCTGCCAAGCTCCCATCACCCTGTCAGCTGAGGGGTGGGGCACAATGTCCACCATATGCTCAGTCTCTGGGTCTCCCCTTCCTGGGCTTCACCTCACAATGAAATAAACCAAGAGGACCTCCCACCCAGTTTGGCTGCCCCATGCAATATTCAGAGTGAGGCCAATGGGAAGAGAAGAAAGCCCCAGGATAGTTCCTTTCAACTGCTGTTTTGCCTTTTTCTCCTCGATAGGTTCTTCTGGCTGTCCCCCACTCTCCTCTGTCTCCACCTGTCTTTCTGGGTTTCTCAGGTAAGAAAAGGAGCTTAGTTTCCCATGCACAGCTGGTCCACACAAGGACTAATAGGTCATGTGACCAACAAGAGTGACCCTGGCCTCCCAACAAAGACAAAATCCTGAAAGGCCCTCCCAGGGTGAACACTAGACAGATCCAAAAGGCTCCAGGATACCCTCTCAGGTCTCACTGTGACTTCTGGGAAGGTCTAAGAGGGAACCCAGTTCCATGGAAGGCTCTCCCCAGCCTTCTCTTCACTTGCTGCAAGGACCTGAAGTCTGAGGACAGTGAGCATGGCATGCAGTCGCTTAGAAAGTCTGTACTCTAGCCCCACCCAAAGTCACCACCTCCAGGAAGCTTTCTCTGATTGCCTTAGGTCGTAAGCTTTGCTTTCTAGGCTCTGGGGTCTTGGTCTCACTTCTGTCATAGCACACATTGCATTCTGTTAGAATGATCTAACAGATCTAACCTGTCCCCTAACTAGATTGTAAACTCTCTGAGGGCAGGAACTGAGAGATATTGATTTTTGAATCTCAGTGCCTGGCTTGGCTCTAAGATAGATAATGAATTCAGTAAGGGACCGCTGGGCATGCACTCCTGAGACCTCTTCCCCAGGCTAGAATAGCGCTACTGAGGGCTCACCTCTGTGCCTGCACACAATGCTGACCCCCACCCCAACACACACACACTGCAGGATCACTGAGTCAAAAGAAGAAAGGGGTAGGGGTAAGGAGAGGATGCCAGCTCTCATGGTTCCCAAGACTCTTACCTGCAACCCGATGGGCCACCAGCCCTTCCAGGTTCAATGGCTCCTCCTCTGGAGTTCGGGACGGGTCTGAAGTCACATCCTTTGGTGGTGGCTGAGGCTGAGCAGTGAGGCCAGGGAGAGAGGCAGGGGGCTGCTGAGGCCCTGGAGGGCCATGGGTGGCTGGAAGGAAGGCAGATGAGGAGGAGGAGGTGGCTGGGCTCTTTGGACGGAAACTCTGGTTGGGCCCAGCTGAACATGGCTGATAATCATAAGGTGAGTAAGACCTGCCAGGAGCAACTGGCTCAGGGGTTCCCATGGAACGCCCACTGGGAATGTAGCCAGATCTGGACTGGGTCAGTGGATGGGACTGGCGGGAAGAGCCAGAGAGGGGCTGTGAGGAGAGTGGGGAAGCCCCTGGCCAGGCCCCAGGGACACTCTGGGACTTGTGCAAGGGGGCAGCAGCTGAGGTGGGCTCCAGGTCCAGCATCAGCATATTGAGGGCTTCAATAGACTGCTCGATCTCCTGCTGGGAGGCTGCCCTTGGGAACTCAGGGAGAGCAGGGATGGGGGGATCTGCCAGTAGCTGGGGGCTGGGCCTGCTGCTGCTGTGACTCTCTAGCAGGGCTCTCTCCTGCTGCCGAGGAGGTGGCAGAAGCTGCTGCTGCTGCTGCTGCTGCCACGAATTCAGGCCCCTCTGCACAGCCTCCCTGCTGCTACCCCCACGGGCTGGAGCAGGGGGCAGCTGGGGCTCAGCATCCGGAAAGGACTGAGAGCGGAACATGCCACTGGGGTCATGGCCATAGTGGGAAGTGGTCACTGGTTGTGACCAGGACGGGTGGGGCCCCTCGTGCTGGTAGCCAGCTAAACCCTCCTGTGCAGAGTAGGAAGGCCGCACTGGGGCTGTGTGGCTGGCATGGGCAGGAGCTGCCCGACTGGCAGACTCATAAGTGTAGCCCCCACCATTGACCAGAGGTTCTATGGGATATGGTTTGTCCAGACCATTGGTTAATGGGGACAGAGTCTCTGGGTAGCCCCCTTCACTAATGTTGGTGACCCCATCCAGGGATGACAGTGTGCCCATGCTGCCCCCACTGTGCCCATCCTGGTTGGGCAGCTCATCATCCAGGATGTCTGTCTCCCGCTCAGATGCTAAGGCCCCACCGTTGACATGAACCTGAGCTGGGACAATGTGGCGGCCCAAGGAAGACACAGCTGGGCCTCCTGCTGGGCGGGACCTGAGGTGCTGTGCATGATACATGGTGCCTTGCTTCTCTCGCTCTAAGCCAAAGCCACTAAGCAGGCGGTCCAGCTCCTGCTTCTCCTGGGGACTCAGGGCAGCAGGAGCACCAGCAGCCCCTGGGACTGGTTCATCAGTTTTGTCTGTCTTGGTGGAGGCTGTGGAGTTGCCCGAGTCACTGCTCACAGATAGCGTATGCTCCACGTGGTTGGGGGTGGCCGACAGAACAGGACGTGCGGCACTGACTGTCCCAGTACTACCATTCAAGGAATCCTTCTTCTTCACTTTGGCATACAGGCTCCCGTCCAGTGGCCCCTGAGTGTGTCCCACCACTTCTGCAAGGATAGAGCAAGGAAGAGAGCAGGCATCAGTGGGAATTCTCCCAGGAAAAGAGCTACCAATTCCCATTCTCCAGGTCCCAAACCTTGTCTCACCACCCAAAAGGGCAAGGGGAAGGACAAAAGACCCCCACCCAGGCTGTGGGGCAGAGCCCTCAACAACACCCAGCTTCAGGGATAGGCAGCAATGCAGAGGATCAAGCAAATTGCCCTTGTCCCAAGCCCAGCAAGCACTAGCATTTCACCAGTTTCCTGGCCACAGAGGCATGAATTAGTCCTTGGGCCTCAGTGTTCTCATCTGTGAAGTGGGGATAACAAAATCAGGTTGAACCAAATGAAATACTCAGGGAGCACACAGTGTTTCAAATAGAAATGAGCTGTCACATGTCATGCGCTGAGACCAGTGCCAGTGGTCTCACTGACATCAACAGCTAGGAGTCATACCACTGTCATTATGAATACCATTAACTACTGGAGGGTGATATCCAAAACACAATCAACCCCTCCTCCACCCCATTTCAGAATGCTTGCCCCTGCTTCCATTCCTACAATTCCTGCTCTGGGTTAGAGACAGAGGTCGGGAGAGGTAAGCATTGCCTTGACCACACATGGAGGTGTAAGCATAGAGAGCCAGGCCTCCTGAGGACAGCTGTCCCACAAGATTGCCTGGGAGTCTGGGAGGGTGAAAGGGGGTGCCCTATGCAGAACTGCCTCCGTGAGGAGGGGGCAGAAGCGAGGACCATGTAGGGTACTGAGGCAGGAGGTCCAAGGTGCACGGCAGAGGGGAAGCATCTCAGGGACGGAGAACACAAAAGCAGAGGTCTTCCTCAGGGAGAGCTGTCTTTGTCTGCAGACAGCTCTGGAGACCCCAAAGAGCAACACTTTCTCTGAAAGGAAAAAGTGAGTGTTGAGTGGCTCCGCGCCAGAGGGCTGACTCAGGACTTCCCCGCCCAGAGCAGCTCAGTGATTTCACACCCTGTACAGTCAGCAGCCCCAGCCTCCAGCCCCCCACCCCCACGCACACGCAGGCACACACACCTCTCCCCTCTCTCCAATCCAGGGCCCCAGTTGGCAGGGAGAAAAGCCCCCTCCCAAAGACTGCACCAACTCCAGCCGGGACACCCACAGTTACACACACAACCAGACACCAAGACAACCAGAGACACAGACACACCACCCAGAAATCAGCCAAATAAGAAACACCCAGACGTGCATTCCCTGGCGGCCCACACAGCACTGAGAAATATGGCCGAAAAGCCTGGGTGTGGGCATGCGCGCGTGCGAGCACCAGCAGCAGCCAGAGGGCTACTGGTGATTGGCAGCTCCATGTGCCAATCACATTGCTGGGCACTTCGCACGTGCGTTATTTCTCGTCCATGACTCAGGTAGGATTCTGCCTAAAGATGGAGAAACAGAGGCTCGGAGAGGCAAAAGGATTGATTTGCAAATACACAGTACCCGTTAAAGCAAGGCCTTAAATCAAACTAATTTACTTTAAAGACCACAAACTATGTTTTATGCTACTCTTGTCATCTCTCTCTCTCTCTCTCTCTCTCTCTCTCTCACACACACACACACACACACACAGAAGAATAAACACACAAAAGGCAGGAATATCCCAAAATAAATATTTAAATTTAAAGCCACAAACATTTCAAAAAATACAAATATTCTTACCATGCCTAAGGATCAGCCCCAGGCCAGAAGTGAAAGCCTCTAAAAATAAACCCTCATACAGAAGCCCATGGAAAAACAAGTGATCAGACAACCACAAAACAGGAACATCCCAATCAACACACACACACACACACACACACACACACACACACACACACACCCCACAGGCCAGCCAAGTCACCCAAGAGTTTGCATTCAGATGCCTTCCCAGGCCATGAGTCCCCCTCTACACACATACACCCTAGGGGTTGGATGCTCTGCCCATTCCCTGAACTCTGTAAAGCCACATCTCTGCCCTCAGTTTTCTCTGAGGCTTTGGAATCTCAGCCAGCAGCCAGCCCAAGTGACACAGGGCCAGAGTGTTGTCATGACAGCCCAGGGCTACCAGGGCTGGGGGCTGGACTGAACTGGAAAGGAGCTTGGGCTGAGATGTGTGCCAAATCTTTCCCAAGCTGCCCTGTGTCCAGGCATGGCTGCCTCTCCAACTCCCCTGTCATCATCACCAAAGGGGTCCAAGCTGCAGGGAGAAAGAGGCTGCCTTTTGTTCCTGTCTCTCCAAGAACTTGCTACACCAAAAAGAAAAGGACTCGGCAGGCTGTTTCCAGAGGGGGAAAGTACTAATGACAGGAGGTTGTTACTTAGTACGGGTACAGTCCCCTAGAGGATGGGCACATCAGACCAGTAAGGAAATGCTGGCTTTGCTTCCTTCTGGGCCAGGAAGGCTGCAGGACCTGTCTCTCTCTCTCTCTCTCTGTGTGTGTGTGTGTGTGTGTGTGTGTGTGTGTGTGTTGATTGGGATGTTCCTGGGCCAGTGCTGCTCTCCATCCTGTGCAGAGCACAGACTGTGTGCCTAGTGGCTTCCCCACTCCCACTTAAACACACAGACCTTGAGAGCCACTCGGCACAAACCCAATCTGAGGCCACTCCAGCATCTGCCTACTGATTCATAAGAGTTTTCATCAGAAGAGCTTAGAAAGTAGTCCCCACGGCAGGAGGAAGAATTCACATTGCTTCTACCTAATACTCAATATCCTGGCCCTTCCTTGCCCTTTCTGGCCAGGCCTCACTTGCCATCGATTTCAAAAACTGTCAATATTAAACTTGTTCTACCATGTAATGTATCTCCACGTGGGCTACTGTTTGCAGCCACATCAGAAACAGTACCTCCAAGCCACTAGGCTTACTAAGAAAATCGAAGAGGTGTAAATTATTTAATTAAGTCTTGTTTGCTGAATGCAAATGAAAATGTCTCTTGCTGTCCTCAAAGAAGGGGTCAATTTGCTCCTGACTGCTCAGTGCCAGCCACAAGGGCCATGAGCTCCAGGCCAATCCACACCATTGTTGAGTTGTCCTCCCCTTGTATCAAGGGCAGGATCAAGGGCACTTGGGTCTGCCCAGCCCCCAGGACAGCTCTGCTGACCACCCAGCATGGGAATGTGACTTGTACCCCTCCTCCTCTTGCAGAGAGCAAGGTCAGTGCCCCAGCTCCCACCCCAGCAGACACGCTCCTCACTCCGTTCTGCCTTAGCATCATGGCCACATTAAGAGCTATTTACTGGGACCACAAGAAGCCGGAACACAATGTTGGTTTCAATCTATCAAGGCAGGAGAGCAAAAGAGAGAGGCAGATGGAATGAGGACAAGGAGAGAAATAAAGTGAGGAGAGGGGCTTATAAGGGACTGGCTTTAAGGCTCTTAAGCCATCAGAGCCATCTGTCCAAGTCCCAGCAGCCTCCATGGGATGGGCCAGTTCAAGTAAAGGCACCTGAGATGGAAAGGAATTTGTGGTTCAGGGGGAGAGGTGTGGGATAGAAAGAAGGTCTGACTGGGCGGGGGTCATGGGTGACATTGTAGTAGAGGAATTAACCACAGCAGAAACACAGGTTGCAGGCAACCCAAGGCAGAGAGCCCCCAACCCCCAGCCTGGGCCAGCCTGGACATCCTGTGACACAGGCCATCACTGGCCCATTTCTCAAGGCTCCACTTGCCTTGTCTGAATGTGCCTTCCTGTTGTTCCCAACAGCTGCTGGGAGCCCCCAACTCTGCCCTTGATACTCAACTTGGTTGCATGCAACACAGGACCCTTTTTCCACTGAGGCAGGGATCCAGATGTGCAAGTCATGCTTTTGGAAGGATGCGAGGGACATCCCAGATGACTTGAATGTGGACCTACTTCCTGACATCCCCCACCCCCACCCCAGCAATACACTCTGTGGAGGTGTGTAGCACCTCCTGTATCCTGGTCAAGGAAGGCGTATCCATCTGATGATATATTGAAAAAGAGCAGAAGAAATAGTGGGGGATGCCAAGGGTACAGGGTCTAAGGGTAGTGTTTTCTAATTCTGATGTTAAGAACCTTCCCCCAGAATTATTAAAAACATAGAATCCAGGACCTGGTCCCCAGAGACTTCCACTGAGAGTCCAGGGCTGGGGACCAATGGCTCAGCCATGAAGAATAAAAGGTGCCAGCCTTTCTGAGAAAGAAGCCCCTATCATGGCGAGGGCTCCAAGAGGAGAGACCCCTCTCTAAGCAACCAGCAGATCTGTTTGGAATAGCGAATGATTTATTAAGGTTTTCAGGCTGGGGCCCTGCATGATAAAAAGTCCTTTGGGTCCATGTCAAGCAAATAACAATTTATTAAAATACATTACCCAGAGCAGCAATGACCAACCAACATGGAAGAAAAATCAATGCAATGGCAGGAGGAAGAAGCACCGTGCCCACCCTGAACACAGGCAGTTTGGAGACAAACAGGGGTCTCAGGGGAGAGGGACTCTCCATTCCTTAAGTAAGAGTTGGGAAACCGAAGGTCACGTGCACCCAGAGGTAGGTGAGAAGAAGAGGCAGCCAAGATAGCAAGCTCAGGATGTATTAGGTGTTTAGCCACAGACTCTGTGACAACCCTTGGGGAGGCAGAGACTAGGGCTGGGGCAAATGAGGGAGCCGGCACATGGGGCTGGATACCAGGAAGGTGGTTCCGAAGAGGAGACAGAGGTGAAATGTGCCCTCCCACCTACCTCCATACCTAGCACACACATCATTCAGAAAGATGCTCCCCACCTTAATGGCCCAGTCAGCTTGCATCAACCACTTAATCACTTGGAGCCTGTCAGTGAAGGTCTGGATGCTTACTTGCAGGTTTGCTGCGTGATAGGATTTGGGAGCTAAGGACCTGGACCTGGAGCGGGCCTGGTATATACAAGCACTCTCTGCTCTTCCTCTCTCTCTGTCCTCTGCTTCCCATTCTCCAACATCTCTCATCGCCCACAGAGTGAAGCCTAACCCCCTTGCTAGACATGCCAGACCTTTTATCATCTACCTTTTGTAGCCTCCACTTTGCTGTCCTCAATACCCCAAACATCCTCCACTCTATTCTTACAAAGCTATTTATATGCTCTTCCTGCTCTGTGTCTTGGCATATGCCATCCCCTCTCCTGAACACCCTTCCTCACCCTGCCCAAGGCTACCAGCTTCCCTGGCAAACCTCTTCCTCCTCCTTCAGACTCAGCCTTGACTCTTCTAGGAGCCTCCCATCATGGAGGCTCTTTCCTGCTGCCCTCCAAACTCACTCACACTCTGCCATATTCCTGCTTCCTCTTGCAGTTTTCTCTCCTGTGGGTCCCACTGCATAATTATTGCTGAAGTCTGTGTCTGTCCTCTCCACTAAGCCAAGTGCTCCCTGAGGAAGGGCCTTTATTCCTCTCTCTCTCCCTAGGCCTGGTTCCCAGAGGTGCCATGCACAGTGTAGTCTGTATGAATGGAGCCAGTTGGAGCTCAGTGTCACCCTACCTGGCTGTGCAGGACAGTCCCTTGGAGTTCAGAGCTGGCACATACTAGGTGTCCTATAAAAGCTTCTTTCACTCCATTAAGTAGCCCTAAAAGCTTTATACACTCCTGTCAGCCACCAGGATATCTTCTTCCAATGTAACCAGTGGAAAATCAGTAGGCGGGCCCCGAGTTATTCCCAAAGGGAAGGGAAGGGAAGGAGTGGCACCTCAGCCAAAATATCTGAGAGGTGGGTGTTCCTCATATTCTGCAGTACAGGCCAGGCACAGTGGAGGTCCTTATAAACTGCCTGAGTCAAAGTCCACCCCATGCATCGACCATGGACCTCCCTGGTCACACTACAGGCCAGTGAACATTAACTTCCCTAGGCCAAGGACCTCTTGGGGTATTCAATGACATCGTAGAATATTTATTTTTTAAACGCACATGCACACACACACTTTGCACCCAATTCTGAGGGGTAATGGACACCCCAAAGTATACTCATCTAAAAGTTAGGCTACTATACCCCTCTGTCACTCAGGGCTTGTATGATGAGTGCTAGGCTCCATCCAGAAGTGGGAGAGCACATAGGACAGGAAAGAAGCCTTCCAGCCAGGAGGCCAGAGAAGCACCTGGGCCGGAGTAACCCCAACAGGTTGTAACCAGCCTGGGGAGGTTAATGAGAGACAGATGTAGATGAAGAGGGCAGAGAGAAGCACAGCACATGGTTCCAGCAAGCTCCAGAGCTCCTAAGATGGCCTGGTCCAGGCAGCAGGGACCTCCTGGGTGCAGTCTGTGACTGTCCTGGACTCTGCCCAGGCTGACCTCCCATCCCAAAGTGAGCCAGGAGTGAGGCAGCCTTTGTTTGGTACAGCCTACAGAGAGCTCTGGAAATTTCTAAAGGGGAAGGAGCACCCTCAGGGACTCTGAAGAATTAGGAGTTGAAGTACAATCCCCAAGCTTCTGAAGGGGAACTGCAGAGAGGAGACACAGCTCCTGAAACAGGGAAGAGGGCAGGAGACAGGTGCCTCCCAGGAAGTCTAGGTGCATGTTGGGAGATGTCCACTAATACAACTCAGACAAGCATGTGGCCTTGGGTCCCTGTGGGCAGGAAGCAGATGAGTTCAGGTATGCAAAATAACCCATCTTTTTTCCTGCTTCACTTCAGAATGGCCCCACTACATTTTCAGAGAGTAAACAGAAGGGAAGATTTTTCTCAAGGCTACTATTAACCTTTTCACAGGTGGCTATGTCCTCTGTGCATGTGACTTCAGCAGTGTCACCTACAAACCTGCCTCTGTGGATACAGAGAGGGTGGGCAGGGTGGGCTTTTTTTGCTGAGGCCAAGAAAGAGGGGCCCAGTGTCCAAATGCAGTTGTGCCTGAACTTGGGGCACTAAAGGTGGGAAAATCAGCTTTCACTGAAAAGAAAACTAGAGCTTCTCAGTCCTGCTCCATTTTGTGGCTTTCCCTCTGCTCCAGGCCCTCAGAGCAGCAGAGCTGGGACCTCCAGGGACCCCAAGTCAACTAAGCAAAGAGAGTATTTTGAAAGTCTTGAGCCCTTTAGAGCTCATGGGCCTGCAAGGCTCAGTTCCCCATTTTACAGGCTGACAGTGAAGTTCGGCAGGCTCAAGGGACCACCAAGGTCACCCATCAAGGTCAGCCAACATGGACTCCTGGCTCCAAGTGTAGTGCTCCTTTCCCTATGGAGCATAAAGGTATAAACAGCTAGAGGGATGGCGGCAGGGAGGGGAGGAGGGAAGACAGACTCTCCAGCTATAACAGCCGACCAAGAACCTCAGGACAATATGACATATGGTGCTTCAGTCCAGTAATGGTGACAGATGTATCCCCGGGTCCTCCTTAGGAAGGAGGAAGGCGCTATTTCCAGAAAATATCTTACTTGTATTCATACTGTGCCCACCAAAGGGAGGGAATAAGGGCACAACACCTGATTGTTACCATGATCTTTATTTCAGACCCAAGGGACCCAGGCCTGGAGGGCAAGTGACCTGCCCTGGTGACACACCTGCAGGACAAAAGCAAGCTCCCTAGCCAGCCTCATGACGCTGGCCTGGCCTGCAGCTCCCCAACCAGTGCTATAACCTGAGCCTGATGCACCCACTCCCCGCCTTTGCCTATGGGGCACCAGATAGCGCAGGACACCCAGGACGGTAAAAATAGCTCCCAAGCCCACAACAACTCGAGACCTTCTCTGCCAGGCCAGGACACCGCCTGGGCACTCAAAGAGCCTTGGCCAGGGGGCCATGAAGCCGCCAAGATCCCTGCCAATGAGGTGGGGAGAAAGCTGTGAATGGGAACCCGTGGGAGGGCACTGGGGAGTCCCAAAGCTTGGGCGACAAAAGGGGGGCATTAAAAATAATGTCTCACAGGCCTATCCAGGCTTCTGCTACATTCCCTCTGTCTCCCCCGTTCCCACCCAAGATGAACCACTACCCCAGACAACTTAGGACAACTTCAGCCCACTGCCCTCCACCTCCAGCCAGAAGGCTAAGGCTCTACATGGCTCGGGAAGGAAGTCCAGGAGCAGACAATGAGGTCTGCCACATCTACATCCAAACGCATTCAGTGACTCAAGCCCTGCTCAGCCTCACCCCCTTCCCAGGTCAGGTCCAAGGGACACCTCGACTCCCAAGCAAAAGTGCCCCCCACTCCGGGTCCACGACAGAACCACAGGGACACACACAGGAGAAATAGCTGCCTAGCCACACTTACCCTCTGGACGGAGACAAGAAAGGCCTCCAGGGAGAAGCGCTCTGATTTGTTCCTTGTGCCTCAAGTTTCAAATAATTCCTACATGGCTGCAGCTCCCAGCACTGTCTGTGTCCTACTCAGGCTCCTCGGACTGTCAGGGGTGGGAGGAGCCAGTGCCGCCTGCACACACACACACACACACACACACACACACACACACCCCACTCCCTCCCTCCCTCTGCTCTGGAGCTCGCTCTCTCCCCCTCTCGGCTCACTCTGCCTCACTCTGGCTTGTAGGAAGCCAGTGGGATAAAACTCTGTCTGTAATTTCAGCCAGCTGGGTCCCCAGGGTTTCACTTATCATCCTGCAGCTATGTAGTTCTTGAATGACATCACAGTGGCTTCCCAAGTCCTTGAGCCCAAGTGAGAAGTGGCCAGCCCCGACCCCAGCTCACCCTCCTCCAGCCCAGTAACCCAGCAACAGGACATCAGGATGTGGACGGCCCAGCTAAGTCCCAGCCCAGCCCAGGATAGCTCGGCCCACTCCATCCCAGGCACACAGCCCCACACCCTCAGCAGCTCCAGACCCCAGAAGATAAGCAGGAAGAGAGGACTTGGGACCCCACTGATACTGAGCCCAGAGCAGATAGGCAAGGGTACCAGGGCCAGGGAGAAAGGAGAATTCTATGAGGGGACTGAAATATATTTCCCCAAATTTTCCACATTTTTTTCTGTTCTCAGCAAAAGGAAGGCAGAACAGATGACAATAATTTTCCAGCTGCTGAACAATAAGGTGGAAATTTTTTTTATCCCTTTCTCTGCTCCCCCAGCCCGACCCAGTGCAGAGTGTAGGAGCCAGGACACTTCATAGGTTTAGAAGAGGGAAAAGGGGAAAAAAAAAAAAAAACCCACAACCCTTGTACTTCCTAGACAGGGTCTAGGAGGGGGACGGGGCCCACAGAAAAGTTGTCAGTGCAAGGCTTGGATTCTGGCCAGCACCTTGACACTTTCTGAGGCTCAGCTCTGGAATGCCAGCACGTGTCTGGCTGGGGACATTGACTCTCCTGGCCACCTGAGATCCTGAGTTGACTGGCTATTGCTGTCCTCTTTGTTCCCATCTGTGGAAGTCACGAATGGCAGAGAGAAGAACTTTTCACAGGGTAGGGATATCCACCCTCATCCCCCAACCACTCAGGTCTGAGATAGAATCCACCCTCATCCCCCAACCACTCAGGTCTGAGATAGAACACTCAGCCAAAACCCA